CAGGTCTATGAGAATATTTCTGTATCATTTTGAGTCAAGAGTACATGTCAGTTTCCTTTATTGAAATTCCTCTCATTTCTCTCTTGAATTTGAGTAAAGTGTCTTATTTTCTTGCATTTCTATATGATTAGTAATGTCTACATGCTTGCTTATTTAATTCCTTACTGATTCTTTAATTTCTAGTCTATTTTGCACTAGAACATGGACCTCAATTTCTCATTGGGTTTCAGAAGCACAAGAGGCAACATTAAGAAAAAAATGTACGCAATATATACGAATGATGGTCATTGGTCTTCTAATGAAGTTCTTTCTCTCTCAATAATTTTTCAGTTTCTTGTTCCAAACCTAATTATTAATGAAATACAAATGTTCTTAAGCCATGAAAAGGATTAAAGGTATTTATGATTGATTTGATTATATCCGTCATTCATTATTCAAAGCTTCATTAGATATTAGGTCAGACAGTGCAATTTTCATGTCATTTCTTTATTTTCTCCTGATTGATCAAATGAGGGACATGGTTTGAAATGTAAAATGCAGTGGAAAGAGTGGAATAAGCATGGAATAAAGTAAACATGCATGTAGTTAACACTTTAAATTGTATAGAAATGCAAGAAAATCAGACACTTTATTCAAATTTTAGAGAGAAATCGTGTAGTTAAGAAGAGGAAAAAATGAAGAGTAAGCCAATGATCTCAGAATATTTTAGCAAGATATCCATATTTTATTATAAGACTGGTACACCATTGCTTTGTCTGTGACACACCCAAAGTAATTTTCTGCTTAATACAATGATGTGTCACTGGTAGACATGGGTGGGGTGACTCAGCATAATATACAAATGTATATTTTGAACCAAAACCCCACCCCTTATCCAAGTCTTCTTCGTTATTCTATGACATATACAAGACTTATGTCTGCTTTTTTAATGGCACATAAAAACATTGTCTGCATTTTTCAACGACACACTCAAAATATAATTTCTGCTTTGGCCTATGATACATAATTTTCACCTAATGTTTTCTGTCTTTTATTCTCCGGACCAAACTGAAAAGCAATCTGTTGCCTCTTTGTGACACCAGATGTTGAAACACTTTGATATCAATAAATCATATCTTTATAAAGATTATAATTAACCTATTTTCTGTATCAGTATGGTATAGTATGAGACCTGTCAAAATTCTGTTGTCAATTTGTTGTTCTTTTTAAAGCAAAACTGTATTTGGTTTTTATTTATTGATTTCATAGCATGTTCTTTCATTTCATTGGGCTCAGTTGTGAATCAAACAATACTTTATGAGCTCAGCTGGCTATAACCAAAAGTAATTCAAATTATATTAATGAGTTTTGCTAGTTCAGGTGGTGCCAATGTCATATTCTTCAATATTTTTGGACAGTATTCGCCATCTGGCGGTTGGTGTTTGGTGTCTGTAACAAATAGCAGGTTGTGATATTGTGCAAGTTAATACCTTGCTTTTGTTATTGTCAAATTATTGACTTTTGAAAAAACATCAACATCCATTGGAAAAATTAGAAATTGTGTGACTCCTCCGAAAAAAACCACATTGAAATTCCTGTAAAAAAAGGTAAAACAAAAGGCTGATAATCTCCTCTCCTTGCATTATGAAAACACCAGGTGTTTATGGTGATTAAACACCTTAAGATTTATTATTGTGGAACATACTTTTATATGGTCCAGACAGTCTGGACTGTTTTAATATTACGTGATAAAAGTAGAAGTCAAAATGAACTCCAGAGATAAGTCAATATCATAAAGAATATTACTAATGGAGATGTCTATGGTTGAATTATAACAAATGTTGGTTAAGAAACACCCCTTTCTATATTGCAGTGTATGCATTGTTTCTTTGTATTATAAATGTGATAGGTTAGAATGAGGTGCAGTGGGTTTGGGTAGGGTGAGAGAGGGGAGGAATGGAGGTTATAGGAAGGAGCTTGAGTGGCAGTAGGGAGAAGCTGTAGAGATATGCTGGAGGGGGATTGTGAGAAGTAAAGAGGGATGGAAGTTGCAGGGGGAGTAGCTGCTGTAAGAGTGAGGGGAGTAGTAGGGAGTGGTAATGGGGAGGAGCAGGGAGAGGGTCTGGAATGACAGTGGTTGGAGTTCATTGGGAAGGGGTAGGATGCCATTGCTGATGTGTAATTAACTCTAATCTACCAGGGTGTTTTGACTTGGAAAATTATGCCTACCGTATTTGCCGTAGTAGGCGCCCGGGCGCTTAAAGTAAGTCAAAACAGTTCAAAAAGTTGTCCTTATTAGCGCCCATATGAGTCCCGCCTGAGAAAAGATGCCGGAGTTTCACTTTCAGTTTAGAAAAAAATTGGAAGAAAATTTTGGTTCGTGAAATTCGCCACGTTTGCATGGATCGTGGGGTTCATACCTATCCCACTCTTTTTGCTACACTAATGGAATATAAAATATGTACTTACATCAGTATTTTACTCTATAAATCTATAGGAAAACGGACTTATACCTGCTGAATCGAATTCGAATTTTTTTCTCAGCCTCGTTTTGGAATTACATGTCGGGACCCTATTATCGCCCACTATTACGTTTGACCAAAATGATCGTTGATTCTTCAACCAGGGACTCACCCTCGGGCCTCCAAAAGTCTGGGGGGGGGGCGCTAATAGGAACATGGGCGCCAATTACGGCAAATACGGTATTTGGAAATGAAGAAATAACATGAAAATTTTGGGCAAACATAAAATTGTTAAGCAAGACTTGAGAACAGTTTAGATAGAAGAACACTAGAAATATATTTCATTTTCCATTGCAATAGATTTAAAGAAGAACACCATATCTACTTCTGTAGTTTGTGCAGAATGAAAAATTGCTGATTTACAACAGCAGAGCAGGTGGCCTCCTTTGAGAAAAACTTCACGATGGTCATGTTTTAAAATGTAAAATCTGGTAAAAAAGAAAGGAATTGGGAAGAAATTAAGTAAACAGGCATGTAGTTAAGACTCTAAATTGTACAGAAATGCAAGAAAATCAGACACTTCATTCAAATTTTAGAGAAAAATGGAGTGAAATAAGCATGAGCAGACAGATATTTTCAACACCTGGTTTATCTTACTCTGTCAGTTCTAGTTAAGATATTGAGGAATTAGGGAGTCTATTAGGAAAACATCAAGACTTGTATTAGGTTAACACATTTGAGGACTGCTAATTGGAAATGTGGTCAGAAAAATAGCTTATTTTTGATTTTTGGCCATTTTGTAACTAAATTATTGCAAAAGATTTATTAGTGATACATTACCAGGGTCTAACAGTATATAAGGCACATTTTAATAAGTCAAGATAAACAAAGCTTCTGTGAGACAGACATTGTTTTCACTGTTCATGTAGAAAGGTATCTAAAAATGATTTCTGGAATTATATGAGTAATGGATAATTTTATGTTTTGTATATAATATGGGAAAACATAGCAACAACTCTAAACAGAAATTATGTAGAAATGCAAGAAAATAAGACGCTTTACTCAAATTTTATATAGAAATACCAGTTAATAAGATTGTTCATCTGCTGATATAGCATTTTCTATTAGGAAAAGATACTTTGGGGACTTATGATATCATCCTTGAATAATGCCTGCACATTCCATAAACTGCAGATGGCACATCTTGAATAAGCAATTTATAGATTAACTCAACATATAATGCGAATGTCATATTGTCCTTTCTTGCTTTTAATGCCTTTGGTTTGTATTACATGTACCAATCTTAAAAAATGAATGAGCTGTTTCATTTCCTGTTATTTCTATATAATTTAGAGCATGCCCTACTTGTAAACTTTATTACTCGATGATTGCACTCTTTATCTTCTATTTTGCATTCAAATGTAGAATTAAGAGTGAATATGAGGGGGGTTTTAGGAGACATTTTGAGATTGTGATATGTAAGGTTTGAAGTAATGATGTGGTTTGTAAGATATGTGACTTGATGTGATATCATGTATGATGTGATATCATGTATGATGTGATATCATGTATGATGTGATATCATATATGATGTGATATCATGTATGATGTGATATATAGAGGATATCCTATGATTTATGAGTGATATGATTTTTATCCACGAATGGATATGATATCTGCACGAGTGAGCGTAGCGAGAGAGTGCAGATATCAATATCCATGAGTGGATTAAAATCATATCAAGAGTAAATCATAGGATGTTCTTTTTATTCCATAGTTAAAGTCATCATCAGAATCGTCGGAAATTAAGTTATTTAATTCGAATTTCCAAACGATCCGGCGATGTTGACACTTAGCCTCGTTTTGAGTCTGAAGTAGCAAAAATCCACAAACCATCGCATACGACGTCGTATGTCATGGCTAAAAAAACGTATGTTATGGTTAAGTGAAAATTTGTCAAAAATATCATATTTTACCACTGATTACAAAAATACCGTTTTTATTTTCACATGTTATCCTATGAATATCATGCTAACTATGGAATAACATGTATTATTCCATAGTTAGCATGATATTCATAGGATAACATGTCAAAATAAAAACGGTATTTTTGTAATCAGTGTTAAAATATTTTCACTTAACCATAGCATACGGTTTTTTAGCCATGACATACGGCGCCGTATGCGATGGTCTATGGATTTTTGCTACTTCAGACTCAAAACGAGGCTAAGTGTCAACATCGCCGGATCGTTTGGAAAATTCGAATTAAATCACTTAATTTCCGACGATTCTGATGATGACTTTAGCTATGGAATAAAAAGAACATCCTATGATTTACTCGTGATATGATTTTAATCAACTCATGGATATTGATATCTGCAGTCTCTTGCTACGCTCGCTCGTGCAGATATCATATCCATTCGTGGATAAAAATCAAATCACTCATAAATGATAGGATATCCTCTATTGATGTGATAAATGGTTTCCTCTATCCATTCATGCCTCTATAATAAAATTCCTTCATTATTGAAAATAAGATAAGTTTTCACTTTTTTCCAGCTGCCCAGAACTTGGTGATTATGCCAACTGGGTCTGTCCTGAAACCAATAGGTGGCTCCACTACTTTTACGTGTACGGCTACTTCCGTTGCCCTTGACCACGATCCCCAGCTGAGATGGTTTAACGTGGATGGTCAAGAAATTCGACATACTGGGGGAGGGTATGTAAATTATAATTGCATGATCAAAACACTTCAAAATTAGAAAGCAATGAACAAATTACTTCCTGCCTGTCTTGCTTCAAAACCCTAGACCTCCCCCCTATCTTTTAACAACCTGTAGATAAAGGGGAAGACTAACTTTTTGTAGTCTAAAAATGACATATGTAGCAATATATGAGGTTAAAGCTTTTCTTCTTGATGCTCTAACATCACACTTTTGTCTCATGACGAGCTTATTATATTGATCTAATTGGATTATCCTTTTGGATTATTTTGGTTGTTCTTATCCATAATATATTACTAAATTTTGACATAGTTTTGCAATTTTGACCTACTTTTGATGCTCTAAGCTTTTTGGCATCAAAATATCGCATCATATACATGTTTCATATTATACAGAATCACTGAATGGTGTCATTTTTTTCAACTTTGAATGAATTATGTTTTTAGATACAGAAAAACAATCGCGAGAGACTCGAAGGAAAAACTTAAATTGGTGATCATTAACATCGAACAAGAGGACCAAGGAGAATATAGATGTACAGGAAATGTAGCAGGAAGGGATCAAGAGATGAACGTCGTGCTCAACTTGAAACGTATGAAATTATTTAGATATTAGATGTGATCTAAACATGTAGAGCTTTGGAAGCATGAAAGACTTTTATTCGAATGATCAAGTGAAAAACTGTCTAGGCTAAAATTGAATTTCCATACATGCTGAAAAATGTGGATAACTTTAAGTATAGTCCTAACTGATAGATGGCTCTGGGGTATATTTAAATACTTACATTTTATAGGAACTTAATATATAGTTTATCTTTTGATATTGATTTAGAAATATGTAGAAATATTTTATTCTGACTTTTTTAGAGGATATTAAGTTTGTTGATGCCCCAACTCCACAAAACCCTGAACAGTACACCAATGCCCTGATAAAGTGTGTTGCGAGTGGTTCTCCAAATCCTGAGATTTCCTGGTACTTCAAGGGCAACCTAATAAATACAGGTATATGTCATTCTTTTCAGAATTATTACCAATTATGTAATTACATTTTCCATGATATAAGTAAGGTGTATCAGTGATCTCCACAGGTTTTTTCTCAGGTGGGTGCAAAATTCTCATTTTCACAATTAAGACCAAAATTGGTCAAAATACACCAATTTTCATGATTTTTCTGGCTTATAAGTACGGATGCAAATGGATTTTCAGATGGGTGCAAGCCTATTTCCAAAATCTTAGGTGGGTGCACCCACTTGCTTTAATGCTGGGGAGATCACTGTGTGTTTTACCATACCCAAACATGTTCTTTATTGGTATTGCTTCAACATCCCATTACTGATTTCACCTGTTGTCATACATTTGCTTGGTTTTAAATAAAGTTACTTTAGAAAATAACATAAATTCAAAATGGCCATCGCAACAACTCTATTTAACATTGCCAAGATAGGAGAAAAACATAAAATCTGCTATAATTTCTATATGATTGATATAATCCTTCTGGGATATCTCCCAAAAAATCATAACAGTCTTCACAACTTTGATAATACTTTATATCTCTAAATTCATGTGTGCTCCTTAGTGTGATATCTGATATTTTCTTCTATACATTTAATGCAATATTAAGTTAGCTGTTTGAGTGGCCAAATGGGTCAATATGACAATATTCATTTAAGGTCTATGTTTTGCATAAAAGTAGCACATGTAGTGGGAAAGTAGTGTTTGAAAGTACAGCAGCATGAAAACACCTGGGAATAGCTTTCCTTAGGATATTTTAAATTTATATAATGGGCATGACATAGAATGCAGCGAGCAATATTTTAATCCTTTGTACTAACTTGCGTTAAATATATCTTGGAACTACAGTACCAGGTAAATAGATGACCAAAAATTCAACTAAATGTAAAAGTTTTAATATGATAAGGCATTTCAATATAATATTATAAATTATTTAATTTTTTCCTGCATTATAGAAGAAGAGGGTAAGCCAGACTTAGCTTATGTACCAAATTTTATCCATTGTCGAGTTACATATTGTTGTATCTAATACACTATGATATTATTATTATTTTGTAATAATTTTTGTGATCAGTGTTACGCTTTTAGTTTTGAAATAATATTTTTTATTTATTTATTTAATATCGGTTGTCTTGTATGCACTTTTATAGTTTTCATTTTGTTTAGTTCTTATTTCACAAAATTCAATATAATCTTTTCATTTTTGGTAGCAAAATCTATCATAAAAATTTAAAATATTTTAGAGACAGAGCCTTAGTTGAAAAATTTGATAAAGTTGCTTTCTATATTAAGCATGATTCAACCTTTCATTATTTTACTAGTTAATCTACTTAGTGATCTTTCTTTAATAATTTTTATGTTTTAACCTTTTGTAACTTTTTGCCTTTTTATTATTCACTAACATAGTTTAGTTTTAGAAACTGTTCAAAATGTTTTGGATGTGCTTGATAAATTACTAATATTGATATTTTAATAAAATATTATCATTAATTACAAAAGAATTGAAACAGTTTGTATCTTTTGCTAATGAATATGTATTTAGTGCCTTGTCTTGAGATTTGCCTAATCTTTCTTCATGTTTTTTGGCTACTTCTAACTTTACAAACTCCTACCATTCTCATTTTCATTCATTTAACATAGTTTTCATAAAATATTTTGCACGCTATTCAAAATTCATCACGATTTTGGGAACCCTTATTATTAATTATTATTATATGGTATCACCAAGATATGATTATTATTACTAAAATATAATATTATTACTAAAGTATTGAGTCTTTTTTGTAAAAAAGCATTTCTAAATAGCCAACATTAAGTGTCAAATAAGCATATTTGAATCACAAATATTTTATTTCTTAACATTTTAGGAGGTCGATATCGCCAGGAAAATGATGGAATGAGGATTCTGAATATAACAAAAGCTGACAATGGAGTGTATACCTGCCAGGCTGAAGTGGCACAGCATGGTGACTTGAAGAGACAGGATATAGACGTCAGGGTGTCTAGTAAGTAACTTGATTAATGTTTGAAATTCACAGTTGCCTCATAGCTAATATCATTTATGTTTCCACTTTTGGCATGATATTAAGATGAACCTTATAACACAAGTGATTCTCCAACAGACTCGTCGCTTTTTAAAGGATCACATAATTCAGAGTAGAATGTTAATTTAAACTCTCGTTTGTTTAAAGAAACATTTTACGATGGTCATATTTGGAAATGTAAAATACTGCAAAAAGAGTAGAATTTTAAAGAAATAAAATACATATGTAAAGAGACGTGTAGTCAATACTCTAAATTGTATAGAAATACCAGAAAAGCTAAAGCCAAATGGAATATTATTATTATTATGATAAACATGCTTAGATGGACTACATGCTGTTTTGCTTGAAGCATGGTTAAGGGTATGCCTTCTATTGAGAGGGAGACTAATTAGATACAGGGTGTGTCACGATTATGGTGGAGATGAGGCAAGATGACAAGGGATTACTGGGGCAACCAATTTGCATTTTTTCTCAACCACAGCCAACGAGAGCAACGTTCAGCTTCACTTCCTAGGGTAATCATTGCTTTCTTGCGCTTGCAAGATGGTAAACCAAGCGACTTGAACATCCAGTCCATAGACTTGGCTGGAAAACCTCTGCAGCCTTCATCCACAGGGAAACAGTGTGGCTGCCATCCTCTTCGCTTGGCATTAGTTACAATGTCCTCGTATTTCAACTTTTTTAATTCGTGGGATTCTTCTACCCGCTCCTCCCAGGCTACAGTTAACTCAACAAGAATGATGGTCTGCGTTGTTTCTGAGGTGATGGTGATGTCTGGCCTCAGAGTGGTGCTGACTACATGCTGGAGGAGAACAAGCTGTTTAACAACATCAACTTTCATAAACCAATCATATGCTGATAAATTATTATGTTGTTTATCTGTCTATTTTGTTAGCACCTAAGCCTTGCCTGGATGAAATTTAAAATTTTTTCTTATTTCAGTCAAGCCTGTAATAACTTCTGGACCCGGTGTACTGAAACGTTATGAGGGGCAGATGGCGGAGATTGGTTGCCTAGCTACGGCAACACCCTCTGCAAAATACGAGTTTTTCAAAGTAAGAAAGTTTACCATTTGTACCCTTTGCTAGATCCACCATTCATCTGAACTCTTAAGATTAGAAATGATCCCTAGATTTATCCTTTGTCCAATCAGAATGTGCCTAATCAGGAATTCTAAAAATAGAATATTGTATTTCTACTTAATTTGATGGCCGTTTTAATTTGTTTTTAATTTGTTAAAGTCTGCCAAATTAAGTAGCCGCCAAATTCCCCGGTAATTTTAGTACCATCTAAATTAATACCACTAGTGCATTGTAATATTGCAACTCTGCCAAATTAATTAGCTGCAAAATGTTCAAAACAGCAAAAAACAAAAATAAGTAGCGCCAAATTATGTTCAAGTGCAGGATCTGCTCTGTTTTGAAATTTAAAAATTATGATAAAAGTCTAAAATTTTCAGGATGAGAGTCAGAATGCAATTACGACTTCCCCAGATTTCGATGTTGATGAGGTGAAAGGGACATTGGTCATAAAACGAACAAACCATCGCCGTGACAATGGATCATATACATGCCGTGCCTGGAACAAAATTGGAGAAGACTTTCAAACTGGATCATTGGCTGTGATAGGTATTATAAAAATGTTGTTATTTAGTATCAAGTACTCCTTGTCTAGTCTTTCGGCAGTGTTCTGCATATAATGTTATCTATGCAATATTTTAAAGTCATTGTAACTGCCATACTCAAAAAAGCTGTAAAAAACTTTTCCTGTTATATTCAAAAGACTATTTGTTTAAAAATGAAAATTTATATGTGTAATATTTATATTTGTGTAACTCTGATATATTGATATTCGTTCTTTTTCAGTTCTGCCAAAGTATACCAGATTTAACAATATCACAGCGAATATAGGACTTGGGGCAAGCTTGGAGTGTATCGTAGATGCGTACCCTAGACCTGAAATGAAGTTCAGAAAGGTCGGGAATGAGGACTATTACACTGATGATGTAAGTGGGTTTTGTTGCAATAAAAACATATGTTTATATGATGTTAATTATATTCTTTCAAGTCTCTATACAAAAATAAAGTAAATTGAAAATATCATTTCAGTCATGGAGAATTATGTCATGATTGCTTTTCCATAATATATTTTTTTGCAGTTGATTCTGACCTCTTTTGGTGAAACACTGATAAACAATGTATTGGCTAAATTTAGTACTATAATGTCATAATTGGTAGACAGTAATTGTTTTTCATAAAGTTCTAAACAGCTTTAATAAATGAACTGACCCAGTTCCAAATTTTCTTTTAATAGCCCACTCAAAGAATCTACGTCGAGAGAAACCCGCAGAATTCTCTGACACTGAAATTTAAAGATGTCCGCCCATCAGATACAGGAAACTATACTTGCGAGGCCAACAATGACCCTGCCAATATTAAATTCAAGAATGGAACATTGAGAGTTTTATGTAAGTTAAACATGTTCAAATGTTCCTGTTTTTACCATACATTTATTTTTTAGTAATTATGTTTTTATTAAATCCACAATTTGAAAGATTTTTAACTTATGTTATTCCGAATAATCAATGTTTTGCATTTTATTTGTAAAATTCAAATATTTGATCTTTTATTACTTCTCTTTGAGTAGATTTAGAAATAATTAAGAGAGATTATTTAGGGATCATTAACATCTGTATGGTAACAAAAGATTTTTGTCGCTATCATCTTGTAATGAAATCCAATAGCTCTAAATTTTATTTTCTTCCAGTCCCGCCAAACTTTGATGACCAGCCTTACAACGAATTCTACGTCTTTCAAGGCCGACAGCGAAACTTGACGTGCATTGTGAATGCAGGACCGAGGCCCAATATTGCATTCTACAAACAAAGTATAGGTTAGTGTTTTACCGTTTAATGCCAATTCTCTTTTAACTGTTTAATGCCAATTCTCTTTTAACTGTTTAATGCCAATTCTCTTCTAACTGTTTAATGCCAATTCTCTTTTAAATGTTTAATGCCAATTCTCTTTTAACTGTTAAATGCCAATTCTCTTTTAACTGTTTAATGCCAATTCTCTTTTAACTGTTAAATGCCAATACTCTTTTAACTGTTTAATGCCAATTCTCTTCTAACTGTTTAATGCCAATTCCCTTTTAACTGTTAAATGCCAATTCTCTTTTAACTGTTTAATGCCAATTCCCTTTTAACTGTTAAATGCCAATTCTCTTTTAACTGTTTATTGCCAATTCTCTTTTAACTGTTTAATGCCAATTCTCTTTTAACTGTTTAATGCCAATTCTCTTCTAACTTTTTAATGCCAATTCTCTTTTAACTGTTTAATGCCAATTCTCTTTTAAATGTTTAATGCCAATTCTCTTTTAACTGTTTAACACCAATGTTGGGTTTTTTAGGAAGCTTTGTATAATGTTTCATCTGTATTTCAACAAATTTTCTCTCTTTATATGATGATAAAAAATATTCATAAAATAAATGGACACACGTAAACTATTTACTTAGTGATGCTTTAATGAATTCTGGTCATATCTGAGAACAGCATTATTTGGGTAAACGCAAATTTCTGAGTTTAGTAAGTTATCAAATTGAGAATATTTGCTGATCTTATGGAGCTTGGCTTTCTTTCATGAATAAAAGAATTTACATTGACGCTTGTTTCAGGAATTTTAATGTTAACCTGTCTAGCTGTTGCTTAGCAACTTTAACATTTAAAAATGTTAAAACTCTTAAATGATTATTCCAGATAAAGATGGCCAAGTAGGACCCATGCAACAGATTGTGTCAAATGAAACATTCCGTATATATGAGCTGCCAATTCTGCGAGAAGTCCAGCAGTATGAGTTTAGAATGCAGATAAGGGTTACTCCCGAAAATAGATGGTGGTTGTTTAAAGGCTTGTACTCATGTAACGCAACAAACCCACATGGCAGCAAGGGTCACATTATTAACATCAAAGAAGCCAGTAAGTCTAAAAAGTGCCTTTAATAAGAAATTGTTCAGAGGCTCAGGGGTCTTTTTTTCAAAAATATTGTAGTACGATATCAATCCCATGTCTGTAACTAAGTGCTGATGGAAATATTGCAAAACATCTTTTCTTGGAGTTCAGTTTTGGAACATTAGTAGCTTATTATTTTTGTGGAATATTGTATATTCGTCAACACCTGTCCTAGATGACAGTTTTAAAGAAGTTGAAAGTAACAACAATGAACTCAGAATCACTGGCATGATACTTTACATGTAAGCAAACCCGTCCTTTGAGCTTTTTTTGAGCTTTGCACTTACTCCTGATGGGGTAAACATCAAATCACTATTGGATATAAGTCCCTGTGTAAGAGATGGGGTAAACATCAAATCACTATTGGATATAAGTCCCTGTGTAAGAGATGGGGTAAACATCAAATCACTATTGGATATAAGTCCCTGTGTAACAGATCTAATTGTTCTATTGTTGAATTATAATGAACGTTGTACATGTTTTTAGGTTTTTTATAAATTGAATGTAAATAATTTACCGCTATAAATACCAATTAAAAATAAACAAACAAGCATACTTACTTGAACTATTCTGTAATTTTAAAGCTATCCCAGGACCACCCAGGACCGTTAGCACACTCTCAGTGCGAACCACCACTGTTGAACTAGAGGTGACTGAACCAGAAAACAATGGGGGAATGATCATTTTGGGATATACAGTTGAATATGGAGAGGCTGTTAACAAGCAATCATTTGATAAAGGTAAATGACTATGAAATGAGGCCTGTCATATTTTGAGATAATAAAAGCAGTGCCCTCTGGTCTTTTGGTACGGACCAGTTGATTTTTTCAGTAGGTATAAGAAAATAACATGGCAGCTGGTCCGTTATGTCTGTAAGTTCTGAAAAGGGAAAAATGCCATGGGAAGTCTTGAGGAAAAGTTTTGTTTATGATTGTTCACTGCACATAGGTTTATCAATTAATGCATGGAATCAAAATCTCAGATTTTTCAATGAAGTCATTTAATTCAGCCATCCTAAAGTGGAAGCTGACACGCTGCACAGTAATATGTTAAAGACTAGTCCTGCACCGGAAGTTTAGATCGCAGTTTGTTAATTGTATGTTTCACTAAAGACTAAATGCTAAAATTTGATTAAAAAAAATTTGTTTTTAGGAGATAGAATTTTAATTGAAGACTTGACGCCATCTCAGTCCTACCAGTTCCGTGTCAGAGCTCGAAACGATGTTGGCGAAGGCGAAGTGAAAATATTGCCAGTCACCACACAAGCAATCCGTAAGTGAATTTCAACATTTACAGAATGTATTGTCATTTTTGAAAGTAGACAGTTATGAATAGAGTTCCAATTTATTGTATTGTGTTTTTTGTAATGAATTGTTTTTTGTGATGATGTATGGTTGATATTATTATAAAGTATTTGTAGATATTTAAATGATTTAGAATGGGTTTTTATGGCTGTTTATTCCCATACATATATCTTCACATATTACACCCAAAGTATATTGAAATTGAAAGAATTGAGCTAAAAATATGATTTGTGACTCGCCACTTTATATAACATAATAATAAAAAGTGTGAATCAATGTGTGGGAATATTCAACTTAGTTAATTATGAATTTGTCAAATTACCGAAGTTTTTTCTTGAAACCCATCACAACTGTCATGTTTTGAAATGCCAAAATGAGAAAAAACAATGAAAATAAAGAGAATTGAAGATTCCTGGCATGAAGTCAAGACTCTAAATTGTTTAGAAATGCAAGCAAATCAAGCAATTCATTCAAATTGTAGTGAGAAATTGCGTAGAATAAACATGACTTTGTGATGAATTTAAGTATGGATTATGTTTTTTTCCCAAGTATAAAGATAGGGGTAAAATAGAGGTTAATGTCACACATCTTCCCGCCCTATTTTTAGTAAATAACCCCGGAATATTTTTATTCATGATAATATGAAACTAAGACAACCAATAAGGGAGACAAACCCTCTTTTCTAAAACACAATTTTTAACAGAAAAGAAGGTTTATGTCCTATAGTATTATGTTAGTTACAAATATGAATCTTGAATAGTCTAGGGTTATAAGATGACAAGAGAGAGCTTTCGATATAAGTTATTCAGAATACGTATACGCAAACCTGTACTTGTTTCTCGCTCTCAGCTGGTGTTTCAAGTGACATAATTACTACTATTTTCAACCTAATACTCGAATCTACTGTAACTTGAGGGAAGTAAACAGTACAAATGGGAGAACCGATCCCAAGAGGACCATAATTTAAAATGTTCACAAACAAGTTAGCAGGCCCGTAGCCAGGATTTGTCAAGGGGGGTTCACTTTTTGAAAAATTCCCGGAGGGTTCACTTGTGACAATTTTGGTCCAAAAATGGCCAAAATCACTTAAAAAGTGCTTAGAATGGTGAAAAACTGCATGATTTTGAAAGATTTTTTGGTCAGGGGGGGGGGGGTCGCTAGAACCCATCGAACCCCCTGGCTACGGGCCTGAGTTATCTTAAAGAAAGTTTAATTTCACCTCTCTTGTATATACAATTTAACCAACTGAGTTTAGTGCCATCTATTGGCAGTCTCCAAGACTATTACATAGCAATTTTACCAAGTTTATTATTCAAAAGAAAATTCAAGAATTACCTTGAAATCATTTGGTTATGTTTTATATAGAGTACAGGAGGCAAGGTCATCCATATTGCTTTTTGTCGGACGCTTGTCTCAATCGTGCACCCGACACGTATCAGTATAGATGGCACTGTTTCCCTGACCTCATAGTGTCACATTGTATATGTTTATGACGGCGTATTGATTTTCCAGGATCGTAGTTTTGTTCTGTTTGTAATAATATTTTGTTGTGTCTTTTTCTCTGCTCTTGATTCTAATTCCACGTAAATAGCCCAAGGCGGTATGTAGTTCAATAAAAAGGTGGTAAAAACTCAAACTATTTCCAATCTTCTAAATTGGGCTAGTTTAAGAGGTCTCAGAGTTTGATAGGCCTTATAAGTTTGGCAGGCCTGTTATCTAGGCCTTATCTTGTGTTCCATTTAGTTTTGCGGGCCTGTTTAAAAGGTCTTATGTTAAGTTTATATTAAGTTCCATTTATTTTGCTTGTTGAATGGAAGAAAGTGTCAATTCATTATTCTAAATTGTTAGTAAACTACAGGGTATCAAATAATTATTTTTCCTTTTTATTTGACACCCTGTACCTATACATGTATGTAGTGTTAATTAAATTTCCTGAATAACACAACTTTGTATCTCATTTCAAAATTCATTAAGTCTTTGAAAATTGATGATGCATGGTTATAAAATGAAAAATATTATTTATGTACAACTTAAGCATGGCTTAGAGAAGTCTAGAAGTAATATATCTTGATTGTTGTTGACTTTTTATTTGCGTAAATTTATTTCTATAGACCAATTTTTGCCAAGATGGCCTTTTTGTATATGCTAGCTTAAGAGAGATGTCCATGTGTGTTATTTCAACATTTACCAAATTTTGGTTTGTCAAAAAATATTCGTCTTTTTGTATTATTTCCCCAGACCATCCACAAAGCAATTATTCTTTCATTGTTTAATACGTTGAAACCTTTCAGATATATAGTTTTGTGAAAATAGTTTTATTTTCAAAATTTGGTCAAAATATGAGATTTTTGTCACTATAAGATCATATTTGTGAAAGTAAGATTTCTTGTAAAACTGTCAAGATTATTTTAGCAAGTGATCCATTTGTTTTAGTAGTAGTCTCAATTTTACAATACAGACCCTTATAACAGTAGCAGATTAATGATATATACCATCCAAGCATGTTTTGTTGTTGTTTGTCTCCATGGTAAAATGAATTCCTATGTATATATTTTGCAAGACATTAGATATACTAATATTTCCCAAAAATGGATGTCTCATGCGCTTCACTCAAATTTTAGAGAGCAATGAAAGAAATAAGAAAGAAATTAAGTAAACTGGCATGTAAGTTATATAGAAATGATGAAAATTCAAAATTCTAATTGTTCCTTCAGCTGTTCAAAGAGAAACAAAAATGTGGATTAAGCATGTTGAGAGAGAGATTTAGGGATAATCATACCCAGTTAGATGTTGTAAAGCCTATTGGTTAAGTAATCTTAACACAATGTATAATAATAATAGTCTATACTCATTATCTTGTTGCTATAGTAACCTTTTATTACATATAGTAGTCCTTTCACCACATATATTTTAAGGGTATATTTCGTAATTAACGTGTATTTATTAAATGAATTGTGATCTGATGAAAATATAACATTTGTTGTCGCTTCTGTATCTTAAATTTTGCTTTGCATTTATGCAGTGGCTTTTCAGAAAACCCCAAACTTACGCTTTTAGTGTTGTCAGTTCTGTGAAAAAAATTGTTATTTATGATCTGACCTATTCCTGTCACCCCTAGAACCATCAAGATGGACTAGTCTACCTCGAGGGATCTGTGTCCAGGATGCGGAGAAAAGGGGTGATAAGATAAAAATGCTTAAAGCTTGTGTTATATTTCAGAGCGCCCTTACCCCCTCAAAATAACATCGAAAAAATTTGGACGCCATGCATACAAATACCATATGACCTGGGCACGACCCGATGATGGTGGAAGAGAAATCAAGACATTCTCTATCAAGTACAAGAGGGTAGGGAGAGTAAAATAAATAATAAATAAATAAAATAATTTCACAAGAAATTGATTTATTAAATAAATCTCTATTTGCTTTAAAAGGATTTTTATAATAAATTGAAATATTGCAAAATTAAATCATTTTGTTATTCCAACATAGAAACTACTTCATAAGTTCATAAACCATATTCTTTCTGAATAGATGCACATACACGAGTAAATGCACACCTTACTTTTCCATGGAGGACTCTGGCGACTTGAGTAACAAAAATCAAGAAAAAAATAAAAATTTGAAAAAATAATTGTGCGATAATAGGGTTAATACACTAATCGCTGCTTTTGACATAGCTGAACTATATATAACAATATAATTATTTTTTGTGATATCCAAAATGAAAGTATTATTCTGTCACCATCAAGAAGTGGAACAATATATTGTCATAGCCAACATTTTTGAACACACTTTCACGGTGTCTCAAAGATCAAAATATTAAACTTTTTCAAATTCACATTAATTTACCAGATTTGTCATATAGATGTCATGTCTTCCAGGTTGAAGTTGCTAATGATAACCGAACAGTTCTAAAATCGCTAGAAAATGCCAGGACCAGTTCCTATGTTAATGATGGAGGGTCTGATAACCCACGTAGGTTTGCAGATGTTGAGAATCTTTACCCAATGGCTTGGTATGAAGCTGATGTAAGCGCTACTAACTCGGAAGGTGAATCTGTACCAACGAAACATCTATTTAGGACGGCTGAAGGTATGACGTTTAGGATATTTTTGCATATTGTTTTGGTTGGTTTCGCAGAAGTTCTCTCTTCCGATTGCTATTTTCTTATATCCAAAATCCAAAATATTATTTCACTGGTGGGAGCAAACTTAAATTTAACGCATTCTGATTATGAGATGTTAAAAAATGGTAGAAAATATGATTTTTCAAAATCTCAATTGGGTGATTGTTGCTATGCCAATTTAGATTGTCAGCTAGGTGTGACACCAGGTTGATCTCGGCAAGAATGAGAAAAGAGAATGGTTACAGGGGAACTTTTGCATGACCATATTTGGTGTTTGTGTACTGTTTGTGGGTGTGTCTTCAATGTAAGAAGTTGATTGGTTGAAGTTTAATGGTCATTTCCATAAATGAAAGAACAGGGTGTTTCAAAAGTATAACAACTTTTGGAGCTTCCTGTATACTTAAGCCATGCATGACTATAACGCTAAAGCGTGGAAATAAAATTAAACTTTCTGTAGGAATTTATCTTTTGGTGGCCAGTGGGTCATTTACAGAAACTTGGTAGAGTTGCAACTCTTCAACTATTTGCTTTTACCATGTAATGATGTCACCTGTTACTTTGGATATAATGATGTCACCTGTTACCATGGATAAAATGATGTCATAGTAGGAGAACAATGGATTTTAGAAATCCTTATAATACAAAGTTTCTGTGAATCACCCCATGGAGAGAATTTCATTCTTTCAAAGCTCTCAGATTTGAGGACAATCATAAACCTGTACAATATATTTTAGTCTTAAAGGGATTGTATGAGTTTTCTGACCAATAAGGGTTTGTTAAAGATCCAATCATCTATTTTATTTAGGTAGCATGATAACAATTTTGTTATATCAGTTTATATAATGATTACCAAGTTTTCTAATTTTTAATGTTTCAAAAGAGCGATTATTTTCTGTTGGTCAATTAATTTTTTTTTAAATGAAATGGTTTTTAAAAAAAATAAAGGCATTTTAAAAGACTTTGAAACATTTGAATTTTATTTATTTTCTGTAAATTGATTATTTTAAGGTTTCATTTTTAATGATTTTTTAAAGATTTGAGGTTATAGTTTTGGAGCAAAAGTCCAAATAAGAGGTTCAGTGTCCTTTTTAGAAGCGAGCTAAGAGACATATGTTTTCATGAACTAGAAGTGATACTGATCAAGAAAATGATGTTGGCAATTCTGAATGCGTGATGGCGTTGCTATGGTAACCAAGTAAATATGCCACGCCCACTTTTTAGTGCTCTTTTCAGTGTTTGGCCTCTGTTTCCTTCACATCATAGGTGGAGATATGGCCAAAAAGATTCAGTATTTCTATTACATACTGCCTGGTTATCATTTCTATCTTGTTATGTTCAGAATTACAACTTATTTGAAAAAGTATGCTTTGTTTTGTGGGATTTGCTACTTTGAGGAGTTGCCGCTTTTCAAGTTCATAATTAGGCATTCTATTTTTTCAAGCAGTTATATATACAAGATGGTGAAGATATCACTAAAACTGAATGTGTATTTATTGAAAATCATTAAATATCACCATTTTATTTGGCCACCTTGTATTTATTTTGTTTTGTAAATAGTGAAAATCATTTCCATATAGGATATACACTCCCCTCCATAAGTTTGGCAACCTTTTTTCTCCATTGAACTTCGTGTTAAAGCCTCTTTACGTTTGAATTTTTATTTACTTAACCGGCGATGAAATAACTTATGATATTGATGGAAACGTAACTTGACTTTATTTCCAATACCTCCAAATTTTCTCAATTTTTTTCCTCAATTACAATAGGTCGAAAATTGATGATAAATTTGATGAATTTTTGAAAATCGTCATTCTCATGTAATCTAATGGGAAATGGAGGGTTCAGGGCAAATCAGAAATCAGGATACCTTTTCAGTAAAAGAATCAGCAAAAAATTTTTTCATATAGAAAATTGAATTGTCTAACTTTTTTGAACACTAAGTGTTTAGTTTATTTGATGAATATTAAAGTTACAGCGCTTCAAAGTCATTTTTGAAAATTATTTTTCGCCTCCTGTGTTATTTCAATGGGAGAGGTTTTTTGAAAAACAATTTTGACTTTAAAGAACCTGAAGAAACATATCAATTTTTTGTTAAATAAAGTTCGCAAATTCAATTACCTGCCTAACTCGTATATTTTGCAAGGACTCGGATGGATGGATATTCTGTCATATGACTTGCGGCAAACCTACCATTTCCCATTGGTTAACATGGGAATGTCGATTTTCAAAAATTCATCAAATTCATCATCAATTTTCGACCTATTGTAATTGAGGAAAAAAATTGAGAAAATTTGGAGGTATTGAAATTAAAGTCAAATTACGTTTCCATCAATAGTATAAGTATTTTCATCGCAGGTTAAGTAAATAAAAATTCAAAGGTAAAGAGGCTTTAACACGTAGTTCAATGGGGGAAAAGGTTGCCAAACTTATGGAGGGGAGTGTAGATGACTAATGCATGTAGGAAGTTTATAAACACAATTAACAATACAGGGTGTGCACAAAATTTTTTACAGCTATATGCATGTGTTCATTATCAATTAATCAATAAGTTCACAATAAAGTTCAAACAAAATAGGGTAGTGCAGTTAAACCTATGTAAGTGGAACACCGTTAAAACCTCAAGATAGTCTTCTACTTTAAATATGTTGCACTCAGTTAAAGTGGATCTTTTTACATAAGTTAATGGATTTTGTTCCATTTACAGCTGTGTTTCACCCGACATGCTTTACTGTACTAGTATTATTACTATGGTTAGGTTTGAAAAGCATTTCCTTGCTAGGTATACGGATCGAAAATATTGCGGTATAATTGGAGAAAGTGTTTGGTACAGTTATGGTTTTCCTGCATGGAAAAAAGGAGCAAAGAGTGGAAAGAGGGAAACAATAAAAAGTGAAAATGGAAAAAACAAATAATCTAAATCAAACATGCAATCAAATTTCATTAAATTCAAATTCCATTAGAAAATATGGTCCAAAATGAAGTCACATAAATTACGCAAATTGGAATTATGTTTAAAGGCATGTTAGATTTAGGTTATTAAAGATGTCAAAAGACTGGGAGAAAAGGATAATTAATGACACGAGCATGGACTAATGACACAAGCATGGACTAATAGTGTGGTGAGTAACATATAGTCATATATGTTACAAAGTTACAGATTGTTTATTGTTACAAGTTTGCTGTTGATTGAAAAAATGTTTTATGCTACAAAACATTTATCATAAATTGCACTTGGTGCCTCACTTATTAACTTGAAATTAATTATGCTCTGAGACTATAACCCTCAAGAAATTATCAAATAAAAAACAGTCTTAGTATAACAAGCTGAATATTTGTGATTGCTTAAATTGCTGTATTTTTATGATCGCATCATTCAATCTATATAATTTTTGTGATGATATTACACTACAATTTTGTGATGGCATCAAGCTCTGCATTTTTGTGTTCTGTAACATATAGCATAATCAATTTACTAAAATGTTATTAAAATAAAGATTTATTGTTATTAATCATACAATTTTGATGTCCAATGTTGTTACCTAAAATAATACTGAATATCTGGCTCAATAAGTCAATGTCTGTGATTTAACATCTTTTTGTGGTATATGATATATATCTTGTACAGTTCAGTATTTAAAGAATTTAGAAATGTTTAATTTATTTTTATTTTTCCTTAATTCCATCATTTTTGTATATAGATTAGCATCTGTGGCTTATTCTGTTTTTATTTTGCTTTCTTATATGTTATTCTGGTATGTTGTAGTGTTAGTTGCAGGGCGCAACCTTGTAGGACACCGTCACAGGAATACTAACATAGACAATAACAAGATCCATAAATATGCTTCTCCATACAGACACCCTAGACCTAGTAAGACTAACCCACCCGGTGAAAGAGCTAACATTTATACTAATAATAATATCAAAAAAAGACCAGGTATCTCAGAGAACCAGATCCTAACCAATGCTGAATCACCAAAACAAAGCAAAGTATTTGAACATCCACGACACTCAGGATTGAATAGAAAATCTACAGATAATGGTTTCAGTATACCCATTAATGATAATTGGATGAAAATGAGTCACAAGGATGATCAAAATGGGGATTTAGAAACCATTGATGAATCATCTAACAACCCTCATGAAGACAAACGCAATTCAAATACGAATGATGAAAATTCGAAATTCAGTCGTCACTATCCACGCAATAATCCCAGACATATGTTAAGCCAAGATGCAATGGAAGATGAAAGTTTGAGTAATGAACATGATAACAGAGTAGATATCAGTGGATACCACCCTGCTATGTGGCAACAACATGAGGATGATAAAGATACATTCGTGTGGAAGAGCAAACAATTAGATGACGAAATCACAAGACAAAATGAGTTCAGTGAGGACAATGAATTTATCAGTGATTTAACACAGATGCACAGACGTCGTGGGAAGTCCTGGAAAGGACACCAGGATCCAATCAAAAGGCACACGGAACCTCTTCAAACAACAGAAATTCCTGAACTTCCTGAAGCATCGAAATATGGGCTGGAAAGAGAACGGAAGAATCCTTCTTATGGAAACTGGGGAGGTATTCTCGGAAGAAGAATTCCTGAAATACCTACTGGTGATAGTCCATCTAGGTATGGGAACTGGAAAGGCATAGTTGAAAATCAATATAATCAAAGGAAAGCAATTAATAATGAAGGAGATGAAAAAGTTGATTTTAGTAACAGACTTTACTCAGAAAAGTATGAAAGAATAGCAACCAGTGAGCAAAGAGAATCTCTAGATGATAAATATGCAGTTGCTTCTAGAAAGAGACTTCCACCAAGTGAATCTGATACAGAAGTTCAGTTCAACAACAGTCCAACTGATCAGCACTCATTGACCGCTGAACCCAGTGAAGAAAATCCATATGGTTTTTGGAAGAAACAGTTGGACAAAGATTCTAACCTTATTGGAGGTGTAAATCACTGGGCTAATGAATATGTAAATAGAATCAAACCTGTCAAAGAGTATTATGAAAAGGGCATGCCTCAAAATGATAAAAATCTCCCTATGTCTAAGGAATACATTGATAGGATATCACAAGACATTAATGATAAGGAGAAGCACCAACAGGAAAAAAACCATAGGGATTTGATTAACAGGTTCAGACATGGTGATAATGATGAGGAAAATCTTCAAAATATTAGAAATCCCCCAAATGACAATATTGGACCTAATGCCAATAGTTTGGACAACTTATATGACAAAGCTTCAACTTCAAATGAACAAGAAGTTAAATCAAGGGCAAGTAGAAAGAAGTTCAACCACCTAGACTCTTGGTTTAATAAAAACAGTGAAAATCAACAACATAAACTTACATCCAAAAACAATCAAAATACTTCTGATTTCTCCAAAACAGGTGTCCCACCAATTAAATCCACAAAAGAAACACCAGAAGAAATCCCAACAGATGAAGTAGAAAAAATAACAAATAAAAGCTTAAATGGGACAACTTCCAGGAATACAAAACCAGGCAGGAGCCGTATAAGGATGAATCAATGGAAGACTGATAATGAAGATGGGCAAGATACAAAGACTACAGTAAATGATGAAGCACTGGATAAAACTACTGTTAAGTCAGTCACAACAACTAAAGATGGTAGGAACTTTAATGTTTCTGCACAGGTTCTGGAGGTAAACAGGGTGCTCATTTAGGAAAATTCTTAGAAATCCAGTTCAAATGCACAAATTCAAACAGGGTGATTACTGAAACATTCAAAGCAAAGTAATTTTATATTGTGTATCTATCTTTGTGAATAATTGAATGGATTTCTAAGGATCGTACTGGTGATTTGAAAACTTGGGAGTTGGTTAAAACCTCTATGATGGTGAAAATGGGATTAATGCTGACAAGGATTCTTTCAATAGATATAAAAGGTGGTTTGATATCCCATGAGAAAAACAAAGTGTAGGAAATGAAGAAAGGAAGCCAATTCATTGTTATATAAGTGTGGTATTGGGGCTTATAGGCATGTGTTTTATACAGATGTGTTTATCTCCAATTTAATTTGTCATTTAAATGCTAATTCCGCATTTTTATCTAGATTGAGCATGGTGATGATAAAATGGTACGCCAAATACCCAAAAAAATACTATATTATTATCAATCTGCAGTATTATTTATTTAGAAATTCATTTCACATTGGAAGTGCAGAATTTGGGAAGTAGTAATGATGAGGTAGCGGCAATGGTACTTTTGAGTTAATCAACCACTCCCCCCCTCCCCTCTTAAATTGTTTTGCAGCGTGTCCCAATCAGAAAACATTGGAGAGGCCTGTTTGAAGTCATTAATTTCAAAACAGGCTTTGACATAAACGTATGGAGTGGATGCTAGTTATTACTTATTTGTATTCCTGTTTGCATGTTTCAACTCATATTGAAAAACTCTAATTGTGGCTGACTGTTTTATTTGACTAAGCTTTTTCTTTATTACAATGGTAAGCAAACATTTGTACATAAAACGCATGTAAAATATAAAATAGAAATATGTCAACTCTATGCTCCATATGGGAAAATATGATTTACATGTGCATGCTAGAAACAATCTTGATATTCCTGGTGACAATGATATTGTTGAGCCAATATTTTATATAAATATAATCTTTACTATTGTTAAAGCCCCTTAGAACAAGGATCATGTGACCATACATATCAGCTGTGATTGGTTTTATCTGGTCATATGACTCTTGGTCTGGGGACATTTTGATAATAATACTATTCATAGGTGCTAACACATTACCAACGAACCTTTACCACAAGGTGAAATATTGAGGCTTAAATGAGCCATCTTATTGGAGTATACATTGGATTGTCAAATTTGCACTTCATATATACACTAAGTTTGGCAACTGGTAGTATTCATAAGATAACATACTAAAGCCTGTCATCGTTTGCTCATACCTTTGTTTCTTAATTAACATTAATGACAAGTTTGATGATTTTTGAAAACAAACATAAACAAGCTTTAATAAGTGATCCATAAAGGAACTATGAGTTGCCAAACTTATGTAGGAGAGTTTAACTGTATATTAAAACAAAACCAGACCAGTACCTCTGTCTGTGTTCCGTTATGTTGCTATTTAAAAAATCCATTATTCTTATCCTGTGCTTATCACCATTTTACTTCAAAGCTTTGATATACATATTGACAACCTATTAGCCTATTTTTCTAAAATTTGATTTAAACTTATATATTTTTAGTGTTTTGATTTCTATTTTTGTGTATAATTTTTATTTCATGTATTATAAAATGTATATAATGTCTTAATTTAATCATTTGATATTTCAGAACATTTTTTGTTTGTGTCTTTTTTTTTAATGTGTAATTTTAATGCATGTTTCATTCGTCTTCTTTCTTATTCCATTGCATGATTTCTGTTTGTCTTCTATGTTGTTTCAATCCGACATGTTTTATTTTGTAAATATATATCACTAATGAACATGAAATTTACATTAATATGAACAATTACTCCAACAAATCTTGAAATTTTGAATTTTAACTATTCCTTTTTATCAATGCATGACAGTGATCCATCATTTGCTTAAACAAAAATCTGCAATGTCCCACTTTCTCAATATTATCCCATCATGTTGATAAAAACACCTGTAAAACGCCTTAATGTAGGCTTGGTAAAATGAAAAACTATTTGGCTAACTAACTAAAATGACTAAAATTTAAAAACACTTGGTTGATCACTTGGCCTACTTTAAGCACAAGCTCTAAATCTGTTCTTAGATTGTTATTTGCTTTCATGAAATGTATACATATATTACTTGTGCATGTTGTGGAGTATTTGTGGCGAGTGCTTACATAGGGACTTGTTATTTTGAAATTGCACTCATATTGACAAAATGACAAGTCGAATCTTTGCAGACATTAGAATTCCAATGTTTTTTAAATATCAAGATTTGTCTGAGTGTTTATATCAAAGAGGTGCTTTGATGTATAATGGACATCTTACATCAAATATGAGCCATTACATATAATCAGACTTCTTGATAATTACAAAAACATGTGATAAACCAATATTTTGCAATGTCTACTAGCACCATTTATTTTGCTACTATCATCTCACTGGTGTGGTTTTGTTCCAGGGGACAATGTGGGAGGAGTTATAGGGGAGTCAACAAGCCTGAAAGTGAGCATCAGTGTTCTCCTGGCAGCAGCATTACTGGCCCTATTGTGAGACTATTTTATGCACCAGTGTCATCCTAGCAACATCATTCTGAAAACTATCCCTATTGTGAGACTATTGTGGGGACAATGGGGCGGTTTCCATGGGAAGCTGGGAATACCTTCTCTATACATCCATAGAAACAACTAAATGTAACAAACCTGGCGAAGTTTGTTCTCAAACAACGCAGAATCAATGTTAAATTTGCTCTCTGGAGCGAGCAGCAACTATGAATGATAGGAAATGCAAAGAATTAGGATCTCATTCCATAAACTAACAATGAACTCAGCCAGGAAACCTGTGGAACTGTGCAATCAACAAATCAAAGGACCTGCTGTCGGCACCTAGCACCCCTTAAATTCAAGATATGTTACAGTGGACTGCTCTACCTGCATGATATAAGGGGTGGTAGCTTTTATTGTTACCCTCTATTTCCTCATAAATATATATGTTCTTATGATATCCTGCATGATGTAAAAGGTGGTAGGGTCCTAATTCTGCCACCTAACAACCCCAAGAAATCTTATAATCTGTAAGGTGACAGATAAAATAATGGTTTCTTATTCTCATCTGCATGAAATAGGGATTGGAAAGGCCTACATTACATTATAAAGAGGGGATGTTACAGGGATTTTTGATGTCATTCATGTACCTTCATAGGAATAGGGTAAGGGGGTTATATGATGTGAAATAAACATTTAATTATATGTTCCAATAGAATAATCCAATTTTACTATCAGGTGATGTAACACCCCTCTTGTCACAATATATGATCAAATGAACTAGCTAACCAGCCTATAATAGGGGTTGTAGATGTCACATTTCTGCATGTATATTGTAGAGTGCCAAGTATCAGTGTTGCTCAAATTCCTGTCAAATTTTCAATTAGTACAGTATTTTCATTGTTGATGCTTAATAGCATTGTTTTCATAATACTTGTGAACAATAAATGCTTCTTTCCATGTTTTGCCATATTGATTAGAAAACACAAAAACACAGTGTTTATTTCACTGTATCTAAGTTTACACTCTCCCTTCATTAACAATGGCAACTGGAAGTTTTCATGTAACAGCTCCATTTATAGTGATACCAACTATGATTGATTGTCTCCTGTACAGGGAGATGAAAACCTAGAAAATGTCATGAACTCCAATGGTGAAAACTTTGAGTCTAACAGAGAAGACTCTGAACCATAGAGATAATAGTGTTAAGTTTATTTTGTTCTTTTACCCAACTTTGTAAACGTATGACAAATTTGATGGATTTTCTTTTATAATCACCAAACATAAATAGACCTTAACTCACAATCCATAATTTGACTTTTGGTTGCCAAACTTATGGAGAGAGGTGTAATCATATGAAAATATATCTAGTTGGGAATGTATATAATTTAATGTACATGTATATTGAGCATCAACACAAGATTGACCATATTCCCCGCCTCATTATGTTATCATTATTAGTAGGACAATCTATATCTCAGCCTCAATAGCTAATCATTTATAACAGAAAATGGAGTACATTACTTCATGTTCGCAACATCAGCAGGTCCTTATTGTGTAAATATTTAATTTGTGAAAGTATGATCCATATATGCCAAACATTTTACCTCAGGCTTGCTGTAGAATCAAAAAATAGAATCTGTGAAGTAAAATAAACTTGTGATAAGGAAAATTAAAGGTACAACATTCCCTTTCTGTATCATTATTACACCATCTCATACAATCCTGCTTTAACTGTTGGTTTTTACAGTACTGCTGTTCTGACAGCCCTACACAGCGCTGTTTAGGTAATGACGATCAAACAGTACTGTTAAGCACTGTTAAAGCAGTACTGTTTGATAAGCAGTGCTGTACAGTGCTGTTTTAGATTGGCAGTTTAGTTCTGTACATGTATTGATAAATTGTTGTATGCTTAAGTATTGTCACTGATGCTATTTTACTTGCATCATTTATTTTCACATACATTTAATTTTCCTTGTCACAATTTCATTCCTATTAGAAATCAATAATATTAAACTCCAATATTAGGTAACTGTTTGTATAAGTATAACACATACTTCCAATATTGGAGATTTAAATTTGATTTTAATATTTTATGCACAAATGTATGTCAAGATTTTAGCCAATTTTTAGATTTGAATTCTTGTTATCTTAAATCAAGTCAGGTTAACTTGTTCCCAAAATCAATGTATTTGGGTATTTTAGCAATTCATAAAGTATTATTATTGAGTTTTTTACAAAAAGCTATCCTCAATCCTTTGTAAATATATCTGTCATTTAAACTTAGATCAAGATTTAAATTAAGGTTTTTGTTGAAAATGCTTACAAATTAAGGTATGACTCTAAGACATGAAAGTGTATAGTGATGTAGCTTATGTATATGGCAATGTTTGCTGCCAATAATGCCCTCTCTAAGTAGGGTGGTTTTAGAAACCTAAGTATTATCAATTCGTTGCATGATGTTAACATGGTGGATAGGTCTACAGTATTGTTCCAAACAGGATAAACACCGCTTTGTATAAAGTGGTAAGTTTTAGATGATAAAGTACTGAACATTTCCAATAATATCAACTCTGAACCTAATACCAGTTGACATTGTGAACTTATATCAACAAAGTGCATAATAATATAATGAAATATTTCATGAATTTGTAAATTCTGCAAGGTGTGTATATTTGGGTGCATAGATATTTCATGTATGATAGAAGCCAATAAAGTAGCTATGGTTGTATCACTTGTTGGCCTGCTGTAGATATTAACGAGGGAAAATGTCGTGCCATTTATATGTGCAAGTTATGTAACAGACAGTTATTGATATGATATTGATGTATGTGAACTATATACTAAATCTTGAATTGATAAGATACATTTTGATCCTTTTAGATGAATGTCTTTAAATAGTACTTTAACTTGCCATGGTACAAGCAATTCAAATTTGTATAGTTTAGTTTATTTAGTTCTTGTAAAGTTGTTTTAGAATTTTTTGTAGATTTTTGCACTCAATTGTATATACACAGTTTGAATGATACATCAGTTGACAATGGGTTCTTTCCTTCGAAGTTGTTACGTGTGACATCGCAAGATAATATGCAAATGGTTTTGTTTTAAAGTGTATATTTAGTTACTTAATTTTATACTTACGATGAATATAATATATTAAATTATTATAATATGAATGTAATCCATATGTATTCTGTAAAAATGATGTCTCAGTAAATGTAGTAGCTTGTACAAAAGTAGATAATGTCATATAAGAAACAGCATTGGGGCAAGGTTGAGATAACATCTTTCTCTCAATAGAAACCATTCTTTCGGTGTTATGTTATGTATATATAATATACATTTAATAAAGTTCAGCTTTTTAGTGATTAATGATAAATTACATTATCTTAATCATCCTGTATATATTAAAATTGAGATCAAACAACATCATAATTTGTTTAGAAATGAGAGAATTAGACATGTTTCAGATGAAACATATTTCTTCCCTAAACAGAAATTATTTGTTTTATGTGTCTAATTTTTTTTTCTTTATGTGTCTAATGAAACATATCATTGATGAGCAATTCATATGAAAGAGACACACTTGTTTTCCTCCCCAAACATAAGTTATATTTTTATTTGTCATTGCCCCTATGATTTTTCTGTATGATAATAGTTTGTACAAAAGGTGTTGTCATTTATATGAAAATAATCACAAGAATTGTGATCAGACGAATCACCATTATATCATTATTATACATATAGTGATAGATGCAGGAATTAGATTCAGGGGTCAATGTCAAGTTGCAATCTAATTTATTATTCATACTATAATAAAGAATGGGTTAAAATGTGTTATGGGATCCACAGCATATTCAAGTGGTGAACTAACGCAATGAAGGGAAGAACTAATTTGTGACTGCTTTGGATTTACACCTCAATGAACGCAATGAACCATGTGGTATGTGTTACTTCATAATTGGGTATGAATCCTAAAATATAACTGCACATACTGACCACCTACAATTTAGTGATCATTTTAAACATTGACACATATTTTAATCTGTATATTTAGCAATGAATCGATGTAAGTAAATCTGCTTGAAACACTCTTAATTACAAAGTGTGGTTTGTAAAATGCATTTTAAGGGATTAACTCCATTTTATTGCACATCAAACACAATTGTTTCCTAATTAGAGATACTCTTTAAGGTAATACATGTGAAATTTTAATTTTGACGAAGAATTTTTTGATATCTGAACACTACAATGACCATTTCAGAAGATAACTAATTACTAATTTTAGATTTTAGTTGAGAGAATAATTGTATGAATCTAGTCATGTGGTATATTCTGTAATAAAATGTGGAGAATAAATGTGTAAATATTATTCGTAGCATTTCCACATTTGTATCTGTATCACTTAGTATTTGAGGACTTGCACCAAGTGTTCATACACCATACACCAATATTACCAATTAATTATTATTCAATGTCAAATAAAATGTAAGCTTTAGTGGAATAAACAGCTGAAACTTGTGTAAGATATGTAATTAATTGTTGTTTGATTTTTTTGTGTTATTGTTTGTTTGTTTATGGAATTTTAGGTCTACGTTAAAGGGGGAGCTAAAAATTGATGAAAGAAACCACATGTCTGAAAAATTTTGTTTAATCTTTGCCTTCCTCTCTATTAAAGGCCCTTAATGCTTTTATTTATTCAAAGGGATCGGAAAAGCTTTTGAAAAGAAATAATGTCCAACACCCCATTCCAGTCGTGAACCAATTGATGAACATACTGTAGTTCAAAATCCATGGAAATCAAATCAAACCTCCGCAAGAGAGCAGACGGGATGGCACTGAATGAGTTCTTTTGAGATGGAAATATATACCTGATATATAAAAAGTTACATGAAAATCCTCAAAACCTGTGATTCAACCAGAAAATATATCCATACTGTTAAAAAAACAATTGGCTTTATGAACAGATTCATCGTAATGTCAACTCATTTCTTGAGTCTAATCATGTTTAAGAATATGACCAAGTGATTCATTTTGCTTTTCTCAATAGATATATTCTAAAGATAAAATAAGTAAAAGTCTTAGACTTCTCATTTGGGATTGACGCCTTCCTGTCAATAGACTGAAACTGAATAGTTATTAGACTTTTAAAATTATTGTCTGTATATTTCTAAAAATGACCTCATTGTTCCTGTTCACAATTGTTAACATACTCAGTTGATTCTAAAGCACATGCAATGTTTAAATGGAGAAGCAAATAGAAAATGTCTAGTTGTTATTTTCAAAGTTTAAAAATCATATTTGATCTTAAAACATCCAAATATCTGAACAACAACCCTCCATAATTTTGATAATCAATAGTCCCCACTGTATGGCATGTTAAGGGCTCTTTATGTTTGAATCTTAATTTTTGTTTCATGATTACAATTGTTGAGAATTATGACTTTGATGTATTTGTTAAATCCCTAATCATAAACAGGTTTCAGTCTGTAGTCCGAAGTGGACTCCTTGTTGCCAACCTTTTGGGGAGTGTATGTATGTATAAATAAGTATAAATGTATGTTTCAAAAAATATTCTTTCTACCAATAGATAGATAACTATATATTTGTTTACCTAATTCATCTTTACCTAATCTTTACTTGTAGAGTTCTATGTCTGTCTATCCTTTTCACAAATAGAAATATTCTTAATGTTTATAGAAGGCACTTTTATATTATTTATTCAATTATAGAAGTTGGAATGAATGGCGTGGTTAAAGAACCCACTAAAGGTGAATTTATTTTTGTTTTCTTATTTGTTTATGTATCCTAAGTAATGTAATTTTACATCTTATGTCATATCTTGCATGCTTAATGTAAGAATTGTTGAATGACTCAATGAAACCATTTTGTTTACTTGTTCAAGATATAAGCACTAGTGCCAAAGGGAAAGGACCAAAAGTTGAAATGGAACTTAGCAAGAAAAAGCAAACTCTAAGTGCATACCAGTCAAGAAAAACAAACCCCATATAGCCCAAAACCATTATCTAACGTGAAAAGAAACAATGTCTAATACCCCCTTTCCCCCACCATTCAAGAATCAATATCACAATCCAAGACCAGAAGACCAAGGGGCATTTCATTCATACTGAAGTCATTACAATACATGTTGAAGAAAAAATTAGAAATTGATAGCCAATTGATAGCCAATACTCATAACCTCAAAAATTGTTGTAGATACAAGTACTCATACAAGATAGAGCATTCAGTCTCAAATGATGTGGGATAGATAAAATCCAGTCTCCAAGTCCATAGGCGTTTCAAAGGGTCAACATCCATTCACAAAAGCCGTCGCCATAATCCATAAAACACAATAATTCACAATGGTCATCAGGAGAAAACTATGGCTGGTTTCGATCCCTATTTCTCAACCATTAATGCCATAGCCGGGATCTACCTCAAAAGGTGCCAAGTGAAAATTGATAACATGAGTACTGATCTTAATGATGTTTTTCTCTGGCCTTTATTAAAAAAGTGAATCACAATATGGGATTTTAATGTCTGTTTTTTGTTATATTCCCTTTGATATTCAATTGATTTTCTGTACATTTCCATGGAGATCCATTGCGGTTAACAAAATCTGAATAGTTGCTTTACACAAATAAGATACTGCTAAACAGTATTTGTAGAATCAACAAGGGTGACATCAAGTAATCATATACCATATCCTTAGGACACCAATATGATATATTAACCAGGGGGTCATTAACAGAAACTTCATTAAGTTACAAATTCGTAAATCAGTTGTTGTTACCATGGATATAATGATGTCACAGTTAGAGAAGAATGAACTTTACGAATTCTTAAATTTATGAAGTTTCTGTTAATGGCCCCCAGATTCATAAGACATATTTCTGGAACAAGGTTTATTGTTTTGGTAGACTCAGATCATGTTATGCAATATTACACTTACACACACATGCAAACCTTTCCAGGTGAGGTCATGGCTGAATCCACAGGAGCTAGTGGCTTATCTGTTGGTGCAATCATTGGGATCGTGATCGTTGTCATCATCCTACTCCTCATCATCATTGATCTGTCTTGCTACTTCATCAACACGTGTGGACTCCTCCATTGTTGCTGTGTGCATGTCTTGGGAAAGAAGTCTGAAAGGGAAACTGATCCAGAGAAGGCTGAACAAAGGTATAGTTGGACATTTGATTTAGCAAGTTTTTAGTACAATCATTTAATTACTGCCTCTGGGAGACCCATAGGGATAAGGGTTGGGCCGGCTAGGGATGGTATGTTTGAATACACTAATACCATTGTATGTAACTGTTTTGTACACTGCATTGAAACAGATTCCTGTAATTACAATGCATTGCGAACCTTAACTAAAAGATTTAATATGCATTGAAACATTTGATTATAGTATTTTACATGCATGGATGGACTTGATTACATTGCATTGATACATGTTAACTAAGTGTTTCAAATCCATAAACTACAATATTTTTACATGTTTTCAATTTCACTTTGTTCCAGTCAACTTGTCTATATCTAAATATCATACATATATGTTCAAGTAGTTGCATACATGTTTCATTTTCAACGTGTCTATATATAAATATCATACATATATTCAAGTAGATGCATACATGTTTCATTTTCAATGCGTCTATATCTAAATATCATACATATATTCAAGTAGATGCATACATGTTTCATTTTCAATGCGTCTATATCTAAATATCATACATATATTCAAGTAGATGCATACATGTTTCATTTTCAATGCGTCTATATCTAAATATCATACATATATTCAAGTAGATGCATACATGTTTCATTTTCAATGCGTCTATATCTAAATATCATATATATATTCAAGTAGTTGCATACATGTTTCATTTTCAACGCGTCTATATCTAAATATCATACATATATTCAAGTAGATGCATACATGTTTCATTTTCAAAGCGTCTATATCTAAATATCATATATATATTCAAGTAGTTGCATACATGTTTCATTTTCAACGCGTCTATATCTAAATATCATACATATATTCAAGTAGATGCATACATGTTTCATTTTCAATGCGTCTATATCTAAATATCATATATATGTTCAAGTAGTTGCATACATGTTTCATTTTCAATGCGTCTATATCTAAATATCATACATACGAGGGTTGATCATAAAGTTCTCATAATATCTCTCTAATTTCTTTATTTTTCAATATATTCTAATGAAATTTTCACAGAATGTGCAGTATAGAATGTCTTATTAATTCAGCAAGAAGTATCTAGTTTAACAGAAATATTAAATAAGAAAGGGTTGCCATAGTAACGGGAAATCAAGGCACCTGGGGCAATTTAAAGTAATTGAGAGAATGGCTCTAATTAACCATATTAACACAGATAATTACCTCTCATAAATTACCAAACATGTTAAAATGTTAACTTGAATATGTTGTTAAGTGCTTTTACTATTGAAATATATGTGATACCAGACTCTGAGACTCAAAGGTAATGATCAGAAATGACTGCGTAAGACAATGCAATAGATGCAGAGATCTTCAAAAAACTAAAATTCATAGTGATAAATTGTTATGTTAAGTTTATAAGATCCCTTGGTCAGACTAAACATGATCTAAAACAAATATATTGCTAAGATATCAACAAAATTACACCCTGTGTGTGGTCTGTACATGTTAAAAATGATCTAAAGGGGCAAAATCAATTTTCCTGAGGATATTTGACAAAACAGTCATGAGGTCTAACAGTCACTTCTAATGAAGCACAACAATCATCCATTATAAGATCACACAATTCACATGACCATTATAATAGTTCACAACAGTCAAGAGCACATATTATTTGACAATTTAATGTGTTTGATGGCGTATTTGACAACTTATAATGTATTTAAACATGGTGAATGGGGGCTATTCTAGATAGTTTTTTTATTTGCCCCGGGTGCCTTGATTTCAAGTTACTATGGCAACCATTTCTTATTTAATAATTCTGTTATTCTAAATATTTTTGCAGGATTAATAAAACACTCCATGCTGCAGATTCTGTGAAAATTTCATAGGAAAATATTGAAAAATAAAGAAATTAGAGAGGTATTATGAGAACTTTATGATCAACCCTCGTATGTTCAAGTAGTTGCATACATGTTTCATTGTGCAGCAAAGAGATAATAAAGGATCAAGAAAAACAAGATGGCGCTGCAGTTGAGGATGGAAATGAGTAAGGCGCCATCTATACACCCATCTGTAATATTTCAGTTTTCAGCAATGTACTGATTTTGCATGAACAAGTAGAACATATTTATTCTATGATTCCCACTTTATGTTTAGCAATTATTCAAATTAGGAGTACAATTTGTATCTTTGGGGTCAAAAAGGGGTCAATATTATACAAATAGTGACTACCATTGAGGGCAATAGTATAAATTATTTCCCCGAGGGAATATCCTCTAAAATGTACTATTCCCGAAGCCACATTATAGAAGATATTCCCAAGGGGAAATCATTTAAAGTATTGCTCGAAATGAGGCAGTCACTATTTGTTTTATTATATACCCTATACTTTTGTCCCATTTCCCCCGCGAAGGCCAAAAAGGCTTAGAAAGCCCCCTCCCCAGGTCCATTGTTAGCATTATAAGCTATGACGTCATAATATACTCAACAGAAATTTTTGTCTCAGAAATTTCTGAGACTCTCACTTGACAAATTCAATCATATTGGGTATATAATAAATTTGACTGTTGACCCCACGATACATTGCTGGTTAAATAGTGTTTGTCTGAACTTCAATGACAGTGTCTCAGAAAAGACGCTGGGGCAGCTAAATGAAACAAAATCTGGATGGATTAGTCCACCTCCATCTGTAATTATCCCATCGAACGAAGTTCGGAGGGATATAGGGAACGCGTCCGTCCGTCCGTACGTCCGTCCGTCCGGGCAATAACTCAAATACCGTTGGCCCGATTTTGTTCATATTTTGTACACATATACCCTATGGGAGTAGAAGTTCTGCTCGAAAGCTGATTTTCAAAATGGCCGCTCATTTTATTTTATTTAAAAATGGCGCCCATTTTAGTGCCGATTTTACAGTAATTTAAGTGCAATATGTAAAACTGTAGTAGCAATATGTTTTAAATGTAAAATTTATGTAGGACATTAATAAAGCTAGAAATGTAGATAATTATTAAAAAAGCACATGGCAGCCATCTTGAAAGATGGCGGCCTTTACTCGTTATTTTACGATTTTTGCTGTAACTCGAAAAGTAGTGGAGCGATTTTGTTCATATTTGGTATGTGAATACTATAAGCATGGGACACTGTCTAATGACACTTTTGGTAGAAGGCGGCCATTTAGAAAAATGGCGGCCATTTTAACTTATTTTACTATAACTTGAAAAGTAGTGGAGCGATTTTGTTCATATTTGTTATGTGAATACTATAAGCATGGCACACTGTCTAATGACACTTTTGGTAGAAGGCGGCCATTTTAACGTATTTTACTATAACTCAAAAAGTAGTAGAGCGATTTTGTTCATATTTGGTATGTGAATACTATAAGCATGGCACACTGTCTAATGACACTTTTGGTAGAAGGTGGCCATTTTAAAATGGCCGCCATTTTAACATATTTTACTATAACTGGAAAAGTAGGGGAGTGATTTTGTTCATATTTGATATGTGAATACTATAAGTATGGCACACTGTCTAATGATACTTTTGGTAGAAGGTGGCCATTTTGAAAAATGACTGCCATTTTTGCTATATACTTTGTTTGTAAAAATGCCAGCCATGGCTGTTTGATGGGATTCGCTACGCTTTGGCATTGCTGTTGTTCTGGTCGACATATTAAATTCTTGATTAAATTGCACCATATGTATTCTATTGCTTTGCTGAATCATTACTTGGTCAAAATATATACAAAAGAGAGAAACCTTAATTTACAATGGGGACCTACGTGACAAATTTTAACCATTTAAGTGACAAAACAATTAGCACAAAATATATTGAAACACAAAATTGGTACTGGAATGAATATGAGCTAAAAATGGCTGAGACATGTTTTCACTCAGACATGTGTTTTCATATACGTCTATTTCATTATGATTCAACATTATTGTGAATTTTGGATCCTTCGATAGACTAGATGCGAGTAGAAATAATCTTGATTTATGTCATTAAATATTCAAAATTCAGTCAAATATTTGAAATCTACATGTAAAAGTACATCTAGAAATATTAGTGGGCTGTATAGCAAGGTTGGTCGGGGTCGGGAGCTGGGGATAATTTTATTGCTTAAATATAACCATATCATCATCCTACATTAGAATCCACTCAGTCTAACATCAATTTCTGGTGCGAAAGTTGTCATTTTTGAGTTTTACCCCCCTTGACGACAAATTCTTGGGGGTACTATGACAAATGCTTATAACTAAAGAAATATTCATTTGATCATCTTCATTTTTGGCATGGGTAATGAACAGGTATGTAAAAGTAAAATTTGAAAAATTCATACAAATCAGGTGATTAATCCATTCTAAAGATAATAATTCAGGTATTTTCAAGGGTCAATTTCAACATTTTCTGAATGTCGCCATGAAGTAAAAATGACATTATGACCCAATGACATATTTATTGAATGATTTTAGGCTTTAGAAAATAATTTGACTATATAAGCTAAAATAATAACATGAGAATTGTACCATATAGATAATTCTTCATCGCCATCCAGGCACAAATAAACTTCCCCCTCCCCCATTTTCGAATATAAAGGTCTATACCTGAAACTTCCTCAAATAGCTATATTTCAGAAACTATTACAGCCTACATTCCAAAATTTCTCATGGTGATTATACACATCATACTCTGCATAATAGACATATATTTGAGATTTATCCACTCTATATTTAATAATTAAGGTATTTTCAAGGTTCAATTTCAGCATTTTCGGAATGTCGCCATGAAGTAAAAATTACATGACCCAATGACATATTTATTAAATGTTTTTAGGCTTTAGAAATTAATTTGACTATATAAGCTAAGATAATAACATAAGAATTGTACAATATTGATAATTCTTCATCGCCATCCAGGGATAAATACCCCCCCCCCCCCCATTTGCGAAAAGAAAGGTTTTTACCTGAAACTTTCTCAAATAGCTATATTTCAGAAACTATTACAGCCTCCATTCCAAAATTTCTCATGTTGATTATACACATCAAAATCTGCACATTATACATATAATTGAAGTCTTAACACTTTTTTGAGGGTGTAGCTAAGAAATAATAGTATATTTATTAGACATCTTAGAAATCAAAATACTAGTATATGTTTTAGAAGGTTGTCACAACACTACAAGAGAGATATTTTGGATTGTCATCATTATTGAGAATATTACAAAAACATATTTATATTATACAATAATCACCTATTTTCATTTGACATAATTGAAATATATTATCCATCTAGTTTTAATGATTTCAGTATATGCATTTAATCCTGAGATGCACTTAGGTTTGATATTCATGAAGGAATCGTTTCTTTCTTGTTTGTAATTTAGTTTCTAAGCATAAAACTATAAGCATTTAATCTGTATGCTTTAGGATATACATAATCAATACTGATGACTAAACATTCAATTGACAACATTCAGTCAACATGCTTGACAACATTCAATAATGATTAATATGTTCGACCAATATGATTTTGAATAACTTCACCAATACACTTTGCTTGAGTATTCACGTCAACATTTGCTTCAAGTTGTTGAACATTGTTAGTTATCAACATCACCTGAAAAGATTTTATCTATGAAATCGTTGACTTCATTATCTGTCATATCATCGTTAATTTCGTCATCTGATTCTTCGTTATAAATGTCTACCAACTCTTGTGGAAGAATGGCATATGGATTTTCAAGTTCGCCATTTTCTAGGATCCATCCATTTTCTGCTGGAACAAGGGCTGACCTGCATGGAGGAAGGAGACTGATGTCTATCCCATCATAGTTGTTGTTGATAGAGGCTTGAGGTTGAAATCTGTTCGCAAAATTTATGTATCGTACATGATTGATGTCTGTTTTTTCTTTTCCCTGTACATGATGCACACAAATCTTTCGAGTTCTTGAAGATGCCTTTGGTCAAGAACTGTAGATTTTCCAAGTTCTTGAAAGATTGCATGCATGACCTCCCTCTTGATCAGCTGTTTCAGAGGGTTTATTCTTCCCTTTCTCATGAAGGCACTGGTGGTATCACACCCTGTAAAACAGTGGATACCGATCAGGGTGGCTGTGATTGGATCACCCAAACCTGCTGCAACTGTCTTCACATCAATGAGGTGCCTCTTGTTTGAAACTCCAGTGTCAAACAGTACTTTGAGAAGTAGGTGTTTGCTGTAATGTAGCAGGAGTATGAGTACATATGTGTCTGGAGATCTGACAAGTATAGTCTTGGTATCAGCCTCTTGGTCTATAAAGGACCCGGAGAGAAGGTGTAGAGGTAAAATGCAGCCACTGCTAGTGAAAGGTCCCAAAACTAGTCCCAAAAATTGGAAAAACTTCCTTCAAATAGCAAAAACAAAATTCAGCTTTTCCAACTTATCCTCCCAGAATGGAAGAAGGACAAATATGCAAAAAAATTCAGAACACACCAATTTACTTTGTCTGTCAGGAGAAGTGCTTCTTACTCACAAGTGATGGGCCACATGTTGATAGTGAGGAAGTCCTAGACCTAAGGTGCAACCATGATGAAGCTGACACAAAAATCATTCTCCATGCTTTATATGCATCAAGGCAGGTGGGGTCTGAGGCCAAGACCATACTTGTCAGATCTCCAGACACAGATGTACCCATACTCCTGCTACATTACATCAAACACCTACTTCCCAAAGTACTTTTTGACACTGGAGTTTCAAACAAGAGGCGCCTCATCGATGTGAAGACAGATGTAGCAGGTTTGGGTGATCCAATCACAGCCACCCTGATCGGTATCCACTGTTTTACAGGGTGTGATACCACCAGTGCCTTCATGAGAAAGGGAAAAATAAACCCTCTGAAACAGCTGATCAAGAGGGAGGACATGCATGCAATCTTTCAAGAACTTGGAAAATCTACAGTTCTTGACCAAAGGCATCTTCAAGAACTCGAAAGATGTGTGTGCATCATGTACAGGGAAAAGAAAAAACAGACATCAATCATGTACGATACATAAATTTTGCAAACAGATTTCAACCTCAAGCCTCTATCAACAACAACTATGATGGGATAGACATCAGTCTCCATCCTCCATGCAGGTCATCCCTTGTTCAACATTGTAAAAGATGTAACTACCGGGCTTACATATGGAAGCAGTCTCACAAAGCCCAAATGGATATACCTTCTCCAGCAGAAAATGGATGGATCCTAGAAAATGGCGAACTTGATATACAATGGGCTGAAAATCCAAATGCCATTCTTCCATAAGAGTTGGTAGACATTTATAACGAAGAATCAGATGACAAAATTGATAATGATATGACAGATAATGAAGTCAACAATTTCATAGATGAAATATGTTCAGGTGATGTTGATAACTAACAATGTTCAACTGCTTGAAGCAAATGTTGAATTGAATACTCAAGCAAAATGTATTGGTGAAGTTATTCAAAAACATATTGGTCGAACATATTAATCATTATTGAATGTTGTCAAGCATATTGACTGAATGTTGTCAATTGAATGTTTAGTCATCGCTATTGCTTACGTATATCCTAAAGCATACAGATTAAATGCTTATAGTTTTATGCTTAGAAACTAAATTACAAACAAAAACGAAATGATTACTTTATGGATATCAAACCTAAGTGCATCTCAGGATAAAATGCATATACTGAAATCATTAAAACTAGGTGGATAATATATTTCAATTATGTCAAATTAAAATAGGTGATTATTGCATAATATGAATATGTTTTTGTAATATTTTCAAAAATGATGACAATCCAAAATATCTCTCTTGTAGTGTTGTGACAACCTTCTAAAACATATATTTTGATTTCTAAGATGTCTAATAAATATACTATTGTTATTAGCTACACCCTCAAAAAAGTGTTAACATTTCAATTATATGTATAATATGCAGATTTTGATGTGTATAATCAACATGAGAAATTTTGGAATGGAGGCTGTAATAGTTTCTGAAATATCACTATTTGAGAAAGTTTCAGGTAAAAACCTTTCTTTTCGCAAATGGGGAGGGGGGGGTATTTATCCCTGGATGGCGATGAAGAATTATCAATATTGTGCAATTCTTATGTTATTATCTTAGCTCAATAGTCAAATTAATTTCTAAAGCCTAAAAACATTTAATAAATATGTCATTGGGTCATGTAATTTTTACTTCATGGCGACATTCCGAAAATGCTGAAATTGAACCTTGAAAATACCTTAATTATTAGATATAGAATGGACAAATCTCAATTATATGTCTTTTATGCAAAGTATGATGTGTATAATCACCATGAGAAATTTTGGAATGTAGGCTATAATAGTTTCTGAAATATAGCTATTTGAGGAAGTTTCAGGTATAGACCTTTATATTCGAAAATGGGGGAGGGGGAAGTTTATTTGTGCCTGGATGGCGATGAAGAATTATCAATATGGTACAATTCTCATGTTATTATTTTAGCTTATATAGTCAAATTATTTTCTAATGCCTAAAAACATTCAATAAATATGTCATTGGGTCATAATGTCATTTTTACTTCATGGCGACATTCAGAAAATGTTGAAATTGACCCTTGAAAATACCTGAATTATTATCTTTAGAATGGATTAATCACCTGATTTGTATGAATTTTTCAAATTTTACTTTTACATACCTGTTCATTACCAATGCCAAAAATGAAGATGATCAAATAAATACTTCTTTAGTTATAAGCATTTGTCATAGTACCCCCAAGAATTTGTCGTCAAGGGGGGTAAAACTCAAAAATGACAACTTTCGCACCAGAAATTGATGTTAGACTGAGTGGATTCTAATGTAGGATGATGATATGGTTATATTTAAGCAATAAAATTATCCCCAGCTCCCGACCCCGACCAACCTTGCTATACAGCCCACTATATGGTTTCGAAAATTGTTTATCAACTTTGAAAATTAATTTTTTTTGAAAATGTGATTTCTGATTTCCCAAAATCACAAAAAGTGAAATATCTTTTTTTTGTATTGGACAGATAACATTTCCTTTTACTGGTCATATTTTAATTTGGATAACTATTAGATGCATAAGGGTTATATGAAAATTAAACCACTAAAATAGATGTAATTTAAGTTAAAAGGAACTTTCTACTATACCCGCCATGCTATCTGACCCGAACGAGCCACCTGGAGGTGAAACTGGTAACTAGCTACTCGCATATGTGTTTTTGCTAAAGGACATTGAAGAAGGATGTAACAAAATATAGCAATTATCTAGTTTATGAGTATTGTTTTGTGGTCAAAACTGTTACTTGGGGAGGACACTCATGATTGGCGAAATGTAAAAACATTAAGATTGATTTACTGATTGACCTAATTAGAATATTTTTTATTTGAAATGGAAAGTTTACAGTATTTATAATTTCAAAATGCATATTTTGGTGAATCTTGTCTCAGTTTGAATAATTTATTTATGTTTATTTATCTTAGTTTCAGATTTAAGATTGTAATTAAGTGCCAGACAATATAATGCATTTAATTTTTGCTTGGGCCGTTAGGGTCATTTTAGGAGCTATAGGAATTAATAAAACCTGATTTTTAAACATTGTTATTTTATATGAAATTATTATTGTAGCATAAATTGACAGCTTTATATTTAAATTCCAGCTATTTAATATGTCTAGCTTTACAATTAAGTTTTTATGCATCTAGTAAAAACGAGATTGTAGTAAGTCTCTAAGTATAGTGTTTATTATATTTGTATTGCAATATAGGAGATTAAATAGGCTATATATATCATGAATCTTGTTTCTTGAAAGTAGGCATGGTGTTTATGATTGAACAGTAATCATGGATATACTGGCCAGTCAGACACCTCTCCCAAGAGGGGGACTAGGGGTGCAGTTTCATATTTCTTACTGGAAGTAGTCGAATGACATCAAAGATGTGCATATTTCAGGTCCATTATCTGATTATGCTTCCTTATTTTCCATTTATTTCATGTGAATTAGATAGCACAGCATAAAGTTGTGAAGTTCATTGAACACTAAACAAAAAGAAAGAACTGATTACTGTGATATATCATTATTTCTCCAGGAATTATTTTCTTGATTTCAATGCACACCCCCCCCCTCCCTCATCTGACCGGCCTGAATATATAACAGAACTGACCATTTTTAGAAGTCTATTATAGCCAGGTTACCATGTTTGAAACTGCTTTGCATTTAGTGAATAAAAATGATCATCCATTCAATAATACACTTTATGAATTCATAAAGTGTATCTGCCTTTCATAAAGTGTACCATCCATTCAACATGGGCCAGAACCCCATTCATAAAGTGTATAATCCGTTCAAAAAGTGTACCATCCCTTCAAAAAGTGTACCTTCCATTCATAAAGAGTACAATCTATTCCTAAGGTATACCCCCCCCCCATTCATAAAGTGTACCATCCACTCATAAAGTGTACCATCCGTTCAACATGGACCAGAACCCCTTTCATAAAGTGTATAATCCATTCAAAAAGTGTACCATTCCTTCAAAAAGTGTACCATTCCTTCAAAAAGTGTACCATCCCTTCAAAAAGTGTACCATCCATTCATAAAGTGTACCATCCATTCAACATGGACCAGAACCCCATTCCTAAAGTGTACCATTCATTCCTAAAGTGTACCATCCATATATTTAAGTGTACAATTTATGTATTCTAACAGCACTGCCCTGAAAGCTAAAGATGAAGATGCTGAAGAGGAAGGGGACCAAGAAGAGGGAGCCAAAGAAGAAGAGAAGGAGCCAGTGCCCAATGAGACTGGAGATGAGGAAACTGAACCTTTGACCAAACATGAGGAGGTGAATGAAGAAGATGTCAAGCCAGAGGTGAGTGATTTCCTTGGTGTCATGTTACAAGTAAGTGATGTGTTTGGAGTCAATGGTGTCCTGTAATGAATGAATATGACATCTTGGTAATGCCATGTTATGAGTCAGTTGTGTCATGCTATGAATGAGTGATGCCATGTTACATGTAGGTGATGTCATGTTATGAGTCAGGGGTGTCATGCTATGAATGAGTGATTTCAGGTTACATGTAGGTGATGTCATATTATGAATTGGTAAATGTAAATGTAACATCTTGATAATGTCATGGTACAAATGAGAGATGTCATGTTACATGTAGGTGATGTCATGTTATGAGTAAATGGTGTAATGCTATGACTGAATAGCGTCATGTTATGTGTCAGTGGTGTCAAGTTATGGTTGAGTTGTGTCATGGTTTTTATGAGTTTATACCTTCATTTTAACATTGGTTGTTAAAAGTTTGTTTAATTTGAAAATGGGCTTTCAACTCTAATTGAAAGCCCATGATTTGAATTTCTAGACTGTTGCTCACAAATATTTAAATTAATAGTTCATGAATATCTGAATATCATTTTGTTAAAAATGTCCACATTTCCAACATAAAATAGTTCATGAATATATAAATATCATTTTGTTAAAGATGTCCACATTTCCAACATAAATTTATAGTTCATTAATACATCAATATCATTTTGTTAAAAATGTCCACATTTCCAACATTAATTTATAGTTCATGAATATATCAATATCATTTTGTTAAAAGTGTCCACATTTCCAACATTAATTTATAGTTCATTGATACATCAATATCATTTTGTTAAAAATGTCCACATTTCCAACATAAAATAGTTCATTAATATATGAATATCATTTTGTTAAAAGTGTCCACATTTCCAGGTTGAAGAGAAGGAAGAATTGCCACCTGTCCAGGTTGTCAATGGCGATGAGGCCCCTCCTCCCCCACCCCCTGCTGCCCCTGCTGACGCCACTACCCCTGAGGGAGGGGGTGGGGATCTCCCACCAGCTCCTCCCACTGACACAATCGTATAAGTGTCATGTCTTGTCTTGGATCTCACATTATTGCCCAGTATTAATCCATGGCTCCTAAAATCTGGCTGATGTTGATGTTTTTGAAATTGAGTTCCTACAAAATAATTGAAAATTTGTTGGTTTCTCATGCTGGTTGAATCTCAATATTAAAGATGTTTTGACAAATGCCTTTCTCATCCATTGGTATGAACATAAATAATTTGTACTCTAATAAAAAAAACAGAAGAACAGACTAAAAGGACGGCATATATATAAAAAAGGGAATCTGAGCACAGAAAAAAGGAGCCGATGCTAAAATAAATGTAAATTTTTTAAAATGGTTCAATTTTATTTATTGGTTGTTTGCTACATTAAAAGTGGGGCAATGTAGCAAACACCTCAAGTGAGACGTCAGCCTGTTTTAAAAGTACAAGCTCAGCTTAGATTAAAATTTATGAGTACAACTTTAAGAAAGGGACAATTTGAGAAGTACAATTTTAGTGATCAATTCACTGGTTTTTACGAGGATACATTGATAGCTTTATGTTTCTGTCAAAAAGAGGACAGGAATCTGATACTGTAATCAGTGTAAATGCCTAGAAATGTTAGCCAATCACAGACTGAGAAACATGACATGTGACCTGAGTTAACCAATCACAGACTGGGAATCATGACATGTGACCTGAGTTAAAGCGGATATGAAATGGTATTTTATACCTAAAGGAATCAATATAATTTTTTGATAAATGTATTTGGACATGTTTTCTCATCAGTATCGTGAAAATTATTTCACTCTAACTATCGTTTTAGCTGCTTAATAAGCAATATTCAAATAGGTTGTGACGTTATTGGCCCCCACGTGATCTCTCACTGGTCCCCAGGTGGCCCGTTTTGGTGCATTAAATAATGACGTCATAATGACAAGATCTTTTGTTATTTGTTTACACAACAATCATATGGTTGCCTTGATGTCGTGATTACCTAGGAACCAATGAACCAAAACTATATATTATGTATGACGTTTCTAATCACGTGGGGGCCAATCTAATTGATCAGTTAATTTTATTACGTTATTAATGACCATTAACAGTTGTCTAACATTTCTTTTACAATGGCGATCGCAAGAACTTTACGTTGGGCTTACAATGAAGAAAACTGCATTTTTGTAGCTGCAAGTTGAGAAAACCTATTTCAGTTGTCCTTTAACCAATCACAGACTGGGAATCATGACATGTGACCTGAGTTAACCAATCAAAGACTGGGAATCATAACATGTGACCTGAGTCAAATGCTTAGACATTTAAGCCAATGTTACTCTGAATGAATACAGTAGAAAGACTGTACTGATTCAACAATGAAAAAACCATAGAAGTTGCCATATAAATTATTGAATTGCTTTAGACAATAAACTCTAAATGTGGAAGATGTTTAAATGTAATCAATTGTATATCTGCATCTTTTGTTTATAATCATATACTAGATGTGCCATACTACAGATTTTGTGTCAAAATATTAGCCTTGAAGAAATCTGAATTATGTGATGTCATAAATAGGGTTGATCAATGATGTCATAAATAGGGTTGATCAATGATGTCATCAATAGAGTTGACCAATGATGTCATCAATAGGGTTGATCAATTATTTTTAATGGGCAGTCAGTGGATGATTTAGACTCCACATTTGTACACTCCACCCAAAAAGTATAGCAACTCTAATCTCTCCCTTAGGTAATTGGGGCATGTAATCAAGCTTCTATCAGGCGTTCAGTTATATTTGTATTTGATGATTTAAATCAATTTCAAATCATTGAGGTAAATATCAAATTAAACTAAAACATGTTTAACATTTTCTCATATGAGTTGACTTATGAAGGGAGTGTACTTTGACTCAAAAGTTTGCCAAACCTTTGGAGGGGAGTGTACTTTGACTCAAAAGTTTGCCAAACCTTTAGAGGGGCGAGTACTTTGACTCAATAATTTGCCAAACCTTTGGAGGGGCGAGTACTTTGACTCAATAATTTGCCAAACCTTTGGAGGGGGCGAGTACTTTGACTCAAAAGTTTGCCAAACCTTTGGAGGGGTGAGTACTTTGACTCAATAATTTGCCAAACCTTTGGAGGGGCGAGTACTTTGACTCAATAATTTATTGATTCCTTAGTGATTCCAGAGTTGATCTGTATGAAATCACATAACTAGAATTTAACATTTAAGAGCATGGAATTTTTAAAACAGTTGATTCATTTCAAGGTTTTAATTAGCCATAATGTGAATAACATTACATACAAAAGGCTCTTCTAATCTTAATTTCAATTTGTGTGCTACTCTATTTGGCGTAATGAGTAATTATATTGGGCATAATGAGTAATTCTATTGGATGTAATCATGACCAAACTTATCTTTATATACAATTGAACCCTTGTAATTAAAGTTATTTATTGGATTTCAATTACATCTTTTACCTCCATAAGTATGTTATGATCTGTACAAGGGCTGTTCAATGAAAATTTAGAATCCTTGGTGGGTGTTTGGTTTTTGGTTTTCAGAAAGTAAAAGGCCTCAACAAATAGGAGATTTCTAGGACAGTTTTAAGGGTCATATTCAGGAAATCGGGGACCACCTCTTTTGTATGATTCTTAATTTTCTTCTTGGAGAACAATATTTTTATTCATTTTTATTGAGCACCCTCGAGATCAGAAGTTGCCATTTATTTACAGTATTTTATATGAATATTATAGGGTATGTATTCTATATAAAGATGTGTTCATTATATTTTCTATATTCTTTTTATGAGAACATTCTGCAGTTTTAAATGTGCATACTCCTGTAATTAGACTATTTTAGGAGTTTCAACTTCTTATGTTGTGTCATTGACATGAAAAAATTAAAATTAACATATTTTTGTTTTTCCATATTTCTATGATTATACAGTACCTAAAGTGCTAATTTTTGCCTATTTGGAGCAGAAAAGTTATCAAAACATGAAGGGGATCATGAATTAAAATGTTTATTGATATTAAAATGATCCATGCCATTCTGTCCTTTAAGCTGTTAAAATATTGTAATTCAGATTATTTGGTACATTTGCTAATTTTGCAATATTGACGATTTAAAGGCAGATTTGAAAGAGTTGATGAATGACAAATTGTATTGCAAAATTAACCTGTCTTACATTATTATTATGACTCATGTTTGCAGAAATGTGTGTGTTCTTTGAATTTATGATAATGTAAGCAAGAAAAATTATCTTGGTTATTATGATATGAAAGCATGTGTATTTATCATGGCTGGAAAAAAGTTATTGTGAATTGAAGAAATGTTGTTTTGAAAAATACCCCAATCTATGTTGCAATTTGGAATCTATCTTCAGTTGCAAATTTTTAATCGAAATATCTGTACACACATTTCCAGTGGTACTGCGATGGTTAAAAAATGCATATATATGTATGAAGATTCCATTTTAGGTCTGAGATTATTTTCAAAACACATTTGCTACTAGTATGACAGAGAGTAAGCAAGAGAATTAGAGAACTGTGAATTTTTTTAAAAATTATTGACACTTGAATTGCTTGTGGATTCAAACAGTGTTGTTTAGAAATGTAATTATAAATGTATCGGAATATTGTTAACGCGATAGAATAAGAAAAATGTATAAAAGTTTTAGCTTTTGTCGGATTTGAATTTACAGATTTACTGAGTTTTAACTTTAAACTTGTATTTAAATTTGTAAATGATGATAATAGATATGAAAATATGATATTGGTGTGATAGTTGTTATTGATAATAATGCATGTAGTAGTTGAAGCCATATAAAGTTAAATAAGTTTACTACCAAATATTGTTGTATTGTTTCACAATAATTATTCTTTTAATCACTATTGCATTAAATGAAGTTTGTTTTGAATATATTATTACCATAAATCAAAATAACTCATTAGCCAAAATCAAAAGAGAACAGGTGTTTGTAACATTCTGTTATGGTTTTCCATAAGATATGGTCAATATTTTGTAAGAAGTTAAGATAGATAAGATGATGCGTATAACATTGCATTTGATTTGATGGATGCATGACCCATTGACATTCTCCATATATTACTATATAAGGGCATGACGGTGCATGACCAAATATGGATTTCAGGGTTGTGTAATTGAGGCTGCATTTTACTCAGTTTGTATATTATATATTTTGTTATTCATACTTATACAAAATATTTTATTTTTATTATATTTTATTATATGATTATGTATAATCATTATTATTATGTTTAAATTGAGTGCCATTTGGAACATAACATTTCAGAAATATTTCACATAGTTGGTAAAGTTCCAGCTGGATTGAAATTCATCTTTAATCATGTGACAAAAACACTCAATAATTCCATAAATGCATGAATGATAGTTAGACAGGTTCCAATTCAAATAATTCAAGTTTTTGAGGCATTTTTTAGAAAAAGCAACAGACCTATTTTTACTAGATCAGTTTTTCATGCTGATAAAGATATTAAAAGATGACAGCTCAACGGGGTGGTCACGACACTAAATTTTGGCATTTTTACCCCCCTAGGAAAATATTCTAGGGGGTACTATGAAACTAGTTCATAACTCAAAGGATATATGAGCTATTGTTCTGAGTTGTACACCATACATTGCTAGTACAAATATGAATTATATCCTAAAGTTATGGGTTGATACCCTTATTGGTCTCAGAATAATACAAAAAACAGGAAAAAGATACACAATTTTTGTCTTGCCAATTTTATATTTGTAGCTTCAAGCACAATATGAGAGCTTTAACAGATCATAGTAGTATTCTAAAAACATTTCCAAGCTATGTGTGGTATTGTAATACATCTATTTTAGTTATGAAGTACTATTTTGTAATTTTAATATGACTTTATAGTGCCCTACCCCTGGAAAATTGAAGAAAGTGGATGTGGTGAATTTTATCATTTTGCAGCATTAAGTTAGAAACATGTATTGATAGACACCAAATCAATAAATTCATACCATCATCAAATGTTAGGTGACATTCTAATTCATTTATTACTAGAATATAGGACTTAAGATATTTTATATGTAATTAAGTTTTCAATTAAGTACATGTATCATAATGAAATCTAGTGTAATCACATACTAGAGAGGTTGGCATACAGTCTGGACATTGACATAAAGTCTAAACATTATAATCATCAATTGATCTCATTTGAGCAACTAGACTATGGTGGTCATCATGCACAAGTAATGTACAGTAGAACCTGCTAAGTGGAACACCTCCGTAAGTGGAACACCTCCCAAGTGGAACGCCTTTTCAAAGTCCTGTTTTAAAAACCCATTGACTTAATGTTAATTGAACCTCTGTAAGTGGAACACCTCCAAACTTGAACAGTGAACACCCCATATTCAAAAATTAACCTGCTAAGTGGAACAGTCAATTTCCATAGATTTCAATATTGATATATGTAAACAGAATTAATCTCCTTCAATGATATCTGGGTATGAAAACAGGTAATACTGTGTTAATTGGCAAATTAGGATTTTAATGGATTTTAATTGATTAACCTCCTGTAGAGGTCAACATGTGATGCAACCAATAATTAATTTGATAATCAGCAAATTTCATAAGATTTTCATTCAGAAAATTGGATTAACCTCCTGTAGAACTGGACACGTGATGCTACCACTAATTAATATCCCTTGCTGTTTGTTCCAAACTTAATAAGTAGTAAAAATGTCATTTAAAAACAATTGAATTATTAGCAGTAGGAACAAGTCTTTAAAACTTAATTGCCTAATCCTTGTACCTGAGACTGGCACAATTAGGAGGATTAAGAATGTCAGAAAACATTTTTGGCAGAATGAGGAGGATTAAGAATGTCAGATACCTTTTTGAGTAAAATAAATGGATTATTAATGGTATATACCTGCCCTGTAATGAAGGGAGAATCATATTTCCAATGATACATATAAATCCTATATTTGATCTTGTATGTTCCCTGTGAACCCAAAACCTTTGAAGTGGAACACCTTCTAAGTGGAACGCTTTGTGGCAGAATGGAGAGTGTTCCACTTACACAGGTTCTACTGTATTTACATAATAATGTTATAAAGGAGCATGTAGGTTATCGCAAACAACTTCAGACAATTCTAACTTGAATTACGAATATTTTCTGACCATGAACATGGGTATATCTTTTAGATCTATTCATTATCTTTAAGAAAAGTAAATATAATGATTAATCAGACCTAAGT